AGCCTTCTGAGAAGCTTTGGGAAGCTACCTGTATTAAGCTAAATGATTTTAGTCTGGGACATATATTGAAACACATTGAAAAAGTAAGTCTTTGATATAGCTGTCCTTGAATGTATGAATGGACCAATAAAATAAAAATTATAAGGTATGTTTACATGCAAGTAATCGTAGTTCATTTTCTCTTACTGAGGGAGAAGAGAATGTTCCCCCCGCCTCAAATTTTGAGTGCTCTTTAAAGTGTCACTTTTCCAAAATTATATAGTTCGTGAAGAGTGGTGTGCGCAGGGACTCCTCTAGCCTGAAAGTAATTGCAATGCAAAAACTCCTGAGGTTCTGCTAACCCTTTATTGAGTGTGTAGTGTGTTTTCCCTTGTGTCTTCTTTTAGTCATCTTAATTCAAATTCCTGCAATTTCTGCTCTAGCGTTTAACTTGATGTCTATTCTTCCTTTAATTCCAATTATTTAGAGTAAATTCTGTTACAGCCCATTTTTAAAATAAAAAGTAATAAATCACTGCTTGGGTTGCATTTGGAGTCTTACAGGAATAATAAATGGAATCTGTATGACTGAGAATCCCTTATAGCATATAAATACTGACTTTCGTTGTTCTGAATTTCCCAGCTGATTGGATATGTAGCACAATTATTGGCTTCAAATGTAGATGAAAGGGCTCAAGATGAAGAAAAAAGAAACCTCAGGATGGCAGAGTCTCAATAAGTTAATGAGCTGTGTAAACCAGCTTTAGGTGTTAGAGATAAATAACTGGGTAATATTTTTATATTTTCAGATCTATAGCATAGCTGTCAGAGAAAAATAGCTCAGAAAATACAATGTAGGTTTTGTCTTGAATACAACTGGCAAAATACAGGAGACAATGTTATCATCTTACAAGGTACTGAATAAAAATCTATGCTTTATATCTACTTAAAACATTAAGAGCATACTAGGAAGGAAACAAAAATACAAAGAGGAAAAAAAAATACTTCTCATATTTTGCCTGGAGAGAAGTTCAGGATTGAGAAGATGAAGGAGAAGTGATACAGCCAAATCACCAAAAGGTGACTTCTTCCAATTTTGCCTTAAAAACAAAAAGAGCAGCACCAGGGCACTGTGCGCTTAGAAAAGAAAAAAATAAGTACCATTCTGTAACTGCTGATCTGCCATACTGTTCACTGAATCACTCATTTGTATTTATAACCATGCCTAACTTTTAAAGAAGTTACTACAGTAGGTTTAAATACCTGAGGGGAGAATGTAGAGAGGATGGGGCCAAACTCTGCTTGGTGGTGGCCAGTGATAGAACAAGGGGTAATGGGAAGAAGCTGCAACACAAGCAGTTCCATCTCCATGTGAGGAGGAACTTCTTCACTGTGAGGGTGACAGAGCCCTGGCACAGGCTGCCCAGGGAGGTTGTGGAGTCTCTTTCTCTGGAGATCTTCCAAACCCACCTGGATGCCGCCCTGTGCCCTGGGTGTGCCTGCTGGAGCAGGGGGTTGGACTAGATGGTCTCTAGAGGTTCCTTACAACCTCAACCATTCTGTGATTCTGTGATTTAATTTCCTCATCTCAAATAAAAATGTGAACTGTCCTCAGTCATATAGAATAAATACTCCTAAATATAATCTTGTAATAAATTTTATCTATAGTATCTATATTTCTAAATAAGAGCAACAATATCATGAATAAAATATTAGAAAATTTTGAAACATGGGATATTTAACATTATGTAGTTGTGTGATTTTTAATGACAAATCTTAGGGCTGGTTCTCATTGAGCTGCACCATTGTAGTAATCTACACAGAGTAATTTTTTGTAATCCTTTTGAATCTTTTACATTTGGGATAGGTACAGTCCAAGGTAGATATGATAAGAGAAAATGTTCCAGCCTTAAGTATTTTTCTTTCTAAAAGGACATTGGGAAGGGGGCATCATCTTTTCACAAAGGCTTATGCAGATAACATGAATTTTTTTAAGGTCTTATATTTTAAAGGGTAAAAAATAAAAACAAACCGAAGACCTAATTACTGTGGTTATATTTTGATATACAGAATTTTACTACTTTCTGTATTCTTTCCAAAATCCACCCAAAATGACATTTCATTCTGTAGCTATGGTAGGCAGCACCCATGGTTTTTATGACTACCTGCTTCTCTGAGCGCAGACTCCGTGCCTCAGAGGAAACCAACACCAAAACCTGGCAATATTGACCTGAGTGCTGTGGAAGAACAAATGACTGCACATATGATGTGGGATTATGGCCTTTATTTATTTATTTTTCCCTCTTCATTGCTGTGCAGCATTTCATTCTCCTCCTTCTGCATTGACTTATTTGGGGGCTTGATGTTTCACTTGCGATAACTCATTAACAACCTCACCTTGCAAAAATCCTGCTGCATCAGAATAATGTTTACATCTGAATTGAGGCTGGAATGACAAATTTTGGATGATAACGTTCAGGGTTTTTTTTTTTTTTTATCCTTCATCTTCTTACCATGTTTTATCTTACATTACTGTAATAGACTTGAGTTCTCTAAAGAGAACTTCCATTTTTTTTCAAAGTATTTATAGAATCCTGTTTGAAGACCTTTTTTTTTTTTTTTCTCCCTTAAGAGAATTGTTTTTCACCAGATATTATGAAGTTCCTCGATTTTTAACTCTTCTGGAATCACAATCACAAAGTGAGACATCGTACTTTCTGATTTTTTTTTTTGCATATAGATTTTTTTCTTATGTTACTGAAATGTTTTATTAATATTAAATATCTAAAAGCATCCTTATAGGAATTGAGGATTTAGTTCTGAAACGGGGAAGTGGTAAAGAACATCCTTTGAGTCTGTAAAATAGAAGAGAAATTGAAGTTTGATCGTTGCATTGTTCATGTGACTGGTTTTCCAGGTATATCTAGTGGACGATTAAAGGTACAATTTAATGAATTTTCTGCAAGGTATAACAGAAATGGAATAATAGTTTATTAACCATGTTACAGTACTCCGATCTTTCACTCATCAACCCCCAAACCATGGAGAGGCAGATTTGAATCCTTTCAAGTTTATTTCTCCTGCTGTTCTTCTGCAAGTGCTCTTACAAGATTGACTTGTGACTTAAAATCCATTAATCTTTCCTCCCATTTTTTTGGTGTAGTATAAAATTTAGTCAAATGTTTTGAAGGCTTGCAGTAGGCTTATATAACTCAGTGGAGGAAGTGGCCGTTTTTCTCAGTTAAAAGATTGCTATGTTTTATCGTGACCTTTATCCAAACAGTCAGTGTGAGTACTCAAATAGATCAGCATCCAGGCACTTGCTTGTGCTAACCTTTTAATATGGGAAAAAGACACATATTTGTACCCTGTCTGGATTTTGTGCCTGCTGTAAGTGATAAGAGAGACTCTGTGTTGCCATAGTTCCAATTTTTGAAATAGATAGGCTGGAAGATGTATTTAAAGAAGAATAAAAAGGGAAATGTTTCTGTGCCTAGGAACATTAAGGAGGAAAAAAGAAAAAAGCCTACCAGAGAATTGGGTTGCTTTTTTTTTTCAGGTCCTAAATCTCATGTTTACCTCTTGTCAGTTAAGGGGAAAAAGTCGGAGAAAAGAATACAAATGTTAATAAACTACCAATGAACCCAGTGATAGATAATGCTTCTTTCTGTGCTTTGCCCTAAATTGTAATTTAGATTTCTGGGTGAGGGAAGAGAAGATGGGGATTCAATTAGGTAAAAATGCATGTAGCCAGCCCAGTGAAGCAAATTTTTGATTTTTTTTCTTAAATATCACCTACTCATTTAAATCATTTGAACTGAAAATTAAATATTTTGGACTGCAGTGGGAATTTTACCTAGTAAGGATTTCAAGAGATGATCTTTGAGCTAAAGACCACTTAATTCCTCATAGACCATTCTGAATGATGTGAAGTTATTAGATATTAGGACTGCCCATCTGCAGTATTTTATCTTCTCTTTTATTGTCTAGAGATATAGTTGAACTCACGAAGTAGTATTTGCCTGTAGAAGCACAGATTGAAGAGTTTAGTGCTTCAGAACTGTGTAAGTAGAAAGTAGGAACCTCTCTGTTTCATCAGGAATTTAATGATTAAAGATATTTAAAATGAGCAGAAGAACGGGATTTGGAAGCTGTTTCAGCGTTCAGCATTGGTAGCACTTGCTGCTCAGTTTGTCCTTTGGAGTTATTCTCAGAGGTGAGCAGTGAGGAAAAAAAAATCAGATTAAGCTTCTATAACTTGAAGCAAAGTAATTTTGTGATTTCCTAATTATTGGAACTAGGGTTCTTTGCTATTGATATGCTCTTTGAATATTAAATAAAGCTGATTTTAATAATTAAATACATTTTTAAGCTGAAACAGCAGCTATGGAATGAAAATAAAATTAAGTAACTTAATGTTTTGGTTAGAGCATTTGAAACAAGATTAACCTTTTAGTTTATTAAAAAAAAAATCAGGGTTTTTTAAAACCATTTCTGTATTTCTTAATGTGCCCTTATGATAATTTTGGATAATATATTATAAGCAGTAGGTTAAGGTGAGAGGTGGTTATTCCTTATGACAAGAATTAAAATATTCCCATTGAATCCCCACCAGTCTCATTTCAGGATCGTCTCAGTAACTCTTGGGAATCGTAAGAATGGGCAGGTCCTGAAATAAGATATGATTTATGTTGATGTATTATATTCATCATGACAGCAACCAATTTGTTGGTTGCAACCAGCAGAACCATTTTGTTCCTGTGGACATAGGATCACATTAGATATTTTTACATCTTAAAATATTGTGAAATTTCTGATCATTTTCTTTTGAAGTCTACTCCACTGTGCAATATAATATGTACTATAGGGAAGTTGGGGGTGCTTTAAAACTGAATTTATTAACTTCATGTGTTTGCAGCTCTTTAAAATTTTGTAATAATCCCTTCTGCTTACTAATGTAAACTAATACTTCTATTTTGGCTCTTTTACTTCTTTCAGGATGTGAGGGACAGCACCAGTGATGGCAGAGCTTTACGTGAAGAGTATTGAATACTATATGACTCTTAAATGCTAAAAGCAGGAGGCCCCTAGCTGCTAGCTCAACGTGGAGCAAAAACTTTTATTTTAAACTTCAAAAATAATTATGTCAAAGAAAAATCGTGCCAAGGGGGAGAAGTGCGACATGGAGATTGAAGCACTACAAGCTGCTAACGAAGAACTGCGGACTAAACTAACCAACATCCAGATAGAATTTCAGCAAGAGAAAAGCAAGGTAAGTGCTGTGTGTTTGGTGATCGTTTTTTTCTTTTTTAAATGGTAGCAGTGTTACAAGGCCGAAGGCCTGGGGTCTTCAACTGATTCATGGTTAAAATACAATAGAAGTGTATTTTTCAAGAAGTGAAGTCTTCTGCAGAACCATTGATGAACTGAAATCATAGTGTCAAACTTAAGAAAGGTGTCATATGAAATACGAGAAGAACTTAGTGCTTGATTCAATTTGCTTGATAATTATTTTAAATGACGTGTGAAAGGAAGTAAATATATCCAGACTTCCAGTTACTGATTTTTTTTAAGTGACAGCAGTACAGATGGCACTAGCTTAGTGTGATTTAAAGGAAACAAGGGAGTTCTGCTTTAGATCTGAGCACTGAAAGTTGTATTTTGTAAAAACAAGTATATGCCAAGTCAAACATCAGTACAGCATGTTCAGAGCATGTCACATAAAAACGTATGGAGAATGTAAACTGACTTGAAGCTGGTGCTATAGAAGTCCTTGTTGCTTTTGAAATAGAATTTTAACGAAGAGATATCCAACACTTTGTGCATGTCCTGCAAGATCATTTGGTTTTGTTTGTTGTTGAGGACCTTTAGGAGGTTCCTCTTGATGTTGGTGCAATGCCTGACCAAAGATGATGCCCGTGATGTTTTTGGGATATTCGTTGCTGCAGGTCTCGCTTTTGGTGGTCTTGTCCTCTGGCGTCTGAATGTTCGGGCTCATTCATCTTGTACTGGCTGATGTCCCAGACAGGTTTAGCAAGAGTGGAACAAAAAGTAGTACCTCCCTCAGTTCCCCTTTCTGTAATCGAGATAGAAATGGGATGGGCATGTAGGAACTAAGGAAAGTAGATGAAGTATTGATAAAACTATAGCTTTGTATGCTACTATAAAACTACTATATAGTTTAACATAGTACTAATATACTACTATAGTTAATTGCTGTGATTAGAAAGAAGAATCTGCCTCTGGGTAGGTTGTTTTACAAAGGCAAGTGAAAGGTTACATCAGTTTAAATTCTCTATATGTAGGCAAATCACTAAGAAGAAAATTTGAGGTAAAAAATTGGACAGTAATTAATAAAGCTAGAGGAAGTATTACAGTGACAAATTCAAAATTAGTAAATGACTAAGAATGCTAGGTGTGATAATGTAACTTCTAGTCCAGGTAAAAGAGCAGAGTGGAGTGAAACATGAATGGACTGATACTAGACTATGACTAACCTACATTTGGAAGAATCAGCAAGAAAGTATCTCAAATATTTTGGCTGGCACCATGTTGCAACATGCGGACAGAGCAAGGAGTGCTTAATAAGGTTGATGTTACAACATGATTTTCAGGAAAACTTAGAAATCTAGTAGTGCCTTTGTAGTTAGACTCAATCAAGCTATCTACTAAGCTGTTTTTATCTGGAACAAGGGGAGAAGCACTGGAGGTTTCAGAAATTTCTAGGAGATCCTGATCTAGCATGAGGAAAAGATACACATTTCATATCTTCAGATATTAGCAGCAATACATTTTCTGTGATTCTTTGGTAATATCGCATAATCTTGAGAGTTGCATTTAAAAGATTATCAGGAGTGGAAATGCTTGAGACAAGAAAAAACGCTGTAGGTATGTGGACTTGGTTTCTTTGTGAGATTTACTTGTTACTGGAAATGGACGTGTAAGAGGAGTGTACTTATGAATGTGGACAGACTGGAGAAAAAATACAAAAAATCAAATAGATGAAAGAAGTAAGCAGGAAGGAAAAGTACCTGGCAAGAGTCAGCAGGCTGCTGGTGAGCAGGGAGTCGGTGTAGGTCCTATCAGAGCAACCGATGGAGCCTCTCAACGTGGGGTCATCCCTGACGGCTGCTTCTGCCCTGCGTAGGTTGTTATTAGATGAGATGGAGGTTTGGAGAAGAGGTTTGTGGAAAAACAGAAGCAAGGCAAAATGAGTTGGAGACGTAGGCAATTGGAAGTGATAAAAGCTGTTGCTTTCAGAAGATGCAGTATGATAATATAGTTGGGAAAGAAGCTGGGAGAACCCCTAGGCTGTGGACTGAAGCAGCTGTTTGCCACCTCCAATAGAAAAAGCCTCCAAACTCTCCATAAAGCTTGCACTATTTTTCTCAGGCTTGAAGAATCTACACTTACAAGTTTACTCCACAGAAAGATTCTCATGTGATAAATGTCTGAATATTTGGAATGTCTTCCCTCAGAATAGTTTTACTTTTGTGCATTTTAACGTAGAATTCTTGGAATCCAGTTGATGGGCAATTCAGCAATCCTATGACATCCTAATCAGTTTAAATAGTTACTTAACTTTCTTGCTGAGCACTTTAATCCTCCTTTTTATTCTGGCAGTAGCCTGCTGAATAGTAATTTTCTCTTGCTTCTGCTATAAGACAAAGCATGTCAGGCCACTTCCGAATGGGAAAATCAGGTCTCTGACAGAGTAGGTGGTAGTTTATCCAGGCTTTCAAGACTGAGTGCTCTCTAATATAAAGATTAATAGAGTTTGTGCTTTAAAAAATAAAAAAGGGAAGTGAGGAGAAAATAAAAGGAATTCTGCCGTTTCTGTTCAGTTTCCCTGGATGAGCAGTGCTTAGCGTCTCTCAGAGCCTTAGCTCTTGGAATTGTTTGTCATTTATCTTTGTCCTTGGGCTCCGTCTCCATTCCAAATGGATGTCCTGGGTGAGTCTTGTAGGGTTCTGGCTACAGTGGATCCCTCATGTGAATCCAATTTTATACAGAAGTTACGAAGATGATCCTTTCTTTTTCTCTTTTTTTTCTTCCCTGCTGAAGTCAACCCATTAGAAAAGATCAGATGAACAAAGATGCTTGAATGAATGCTGGCATCTGTAGTTTCAATGTGCAGCAAAAATCCTTTTTTATGAAGAGCTTTCTAAGTGACCTAGCGACAGCTCATGTTCAGAGGCTTAGCTGAACACCTTGACCTCAGACTGGTGTAGGATGATGCCTAGAAAGGCAAGAGCCTTTCTCTCATCAAAGTGGATGGGGTCCTCCAAAAGCAGCTCTTCTTTCCTGTCCAGAAAAACTAAAGAGATGAAGAAAGGAAGAATTGTACAGGATAAAATATATGACAAGTCAACTTGATACCTTCTGTTACAACCTGGTAGCATCAGTGTCTTCTCAGTGTTTTCCCATATAATATAGGGTGGATAGGGCTGCCTTTTTCAGCCTTTTTGAACAGGCTGCCCAGAGAGGTTGTGGAGTTTCCTACTCTGTAGATCTTCCCAACCTGCATGGATGCCAACCTGTGCTCTGGGTGTCCCTGCTGGAGCAGGGAGTTGGACTAGATGATCTCTAGAGGTCCCTTCCAACCTCAACCATTCTGTGATTCCTATGGAGCAACAAAACCCTGTGTTATTCTTCATTATGGAGATGTGATGCTTCAGAGCAGTTTGCAAAAAATGCTCAGAAGTATTTAAAATCAGGCCAAGAAAACTGCATTTCCACTCTCTAAATATTTGGTTGGAAGAGTTAAAAATGGCTTGGTTACCCCTGGATTTTTGCATGGGGATGTGCTATGGAGAGAAAATGTATTCCATTAAGTGCTTTTGGCTTTTTTCTTATTGTTATGACACTGAAAATGAGCGTCATATTAAAAAATATTTTTTCTAAGCACTTTCCAGAATGAGACATCTTTGCAGGGAAGAGTTTTCTTTAGGGAAAGAATTCTTGTTGTAATTCAGTGAAGCCATAGTCAGAGAGTAGGTTAGAGCATTATCCATTTTTTAAATTTCTTGATCAGTTTAATTTTAAATAAACAAGAAAATATTTTTAAAAGTAGAATAAATTGCTTCTGAATGTATGTACTTTCATGTTAAAATGTCAGCTGGTAAACATACAGACTGTGTAAATGAACCTGCTTTTGAAGGTAAAAATGTATGGGAGAATCTTTCTGGTGATGGCAGAGTCCTTACAGAGGTGAACCAGAGTGCAATATATATATATATATATATATATATATATATATATTTTGTTTTTTGTTTTTTTGTTTTTTTTTTTTGAATGCATCCTTGTGCCAAGAAAGCCTTCAGCATCCTGGGCTGCATTAGGAGAAGCATCCGCAGCAGGTTGAGGGAGGTGCTTCTTTCCCTCTAACGCAGCACTGGTGTGTCCAGCTCTGGCCTCTGCAATACGAGAAAGACGTGGACATGGTGGAGAGAGTCCAGTGAAGGGTCAGAAAGATCAGGCTGGAAGATCTGACATAGGAGAGAGGCTGAGAGAGCATTTTTTTTTTTTAGACTGAATAACAGAAGGCTCAGGGGGATCATACTAATGTATAAAATACCAGACAAAGAAGTAAAGAAGACAGGACCAGATTAATCTGAGCAGTATAGTAACTTTCGTACACTTAAACTCTTGTACACTTGTATAGTAGCTCTTGAACACTTAAAAGAGAATTCACTTGGAAATCTATTTGATGCCTTTTGGGAAATTAATAATTTTAAAGTTACATTAGTGTTGCATACTTGAAAGAATCTTGTCAAAGAAAACAAAGCAGGATACAGATAGTCTACAATAACGTGATTTTTTTTGAAAATATATGTCTACACACTGTTCCAACTTAACACATTTATAGACATAATTACATAAGAGAGGCATGGGGTTATGCCACTTATCATGCTTCTGCTAAGAAGCTTGCATCTGATTTGGCAGCAATGTTGTATCAGCATAAAGACTTTATTAAAGATTTAATACCAGAAAGGCCCAAAATTCATGCTTCATGGGTGCTTCCACATCATGACTGACTTTCAGTTTCGGTAGTTTCGGTATTGGATTCATTTATTGGTTATGCTTCTCATTGTGTCAGTGAATAAAACAGCTTTCATCACAAAGAAAAAAAAAAAATCCCACAAACAAACAACTTACCAAAATTCAAGATAGGCAAATTGCTTTACAGTTCAAGTTAGTTTTGAAATTGAGGCTTGAGCATATGGGGAAAATGCCCTGCTACTTTTTTCACTTGGCAAGTTTAGGAATCCTCAAGCATGTAAGTCAGCATGTTGTGAGGTGGGAGAAGGAGGGAGAGCAAGGGAGGGAGAGCAACTTAAAACCTTCAGGAAAGATCTAACAGCTCTAATTTTCAAACTTCTCTTACAAGAAACAGTAACAAGAGAAAACTCTCTAAATTTCAATATCAAAACCTTGAAAACTACCATTCCTCGTTTTCTGGGTCATGAAGAGTGATACGCATTTAAGATGAGTGCAAACTCCAGGGTTTTTAGATTTTATTTTCCTTTCAGTTTATGCTGCTTTTACTGAAGCTTTTAAGTGGAATGACTAGATCAGTAATGATATTCATTTACATTTTCATGTGGCATAAAAGAGTGAAGGAGAAGCAAATATACCATTTCATATAAGGCACTATATTTTATATAAGGCAGAATTCTTTACATTCCTCAAACATTAAAAAAGCTTTTGCGAAGTTGCATTCTATACTGTAGGGGATAGAAAGCTGCCTTTGGGTTGCATACTTGATGTACACTGTGACTACTTCTAAGTCAGTATATATCCAGAGCAATATTAACCTTATTTGTAAATATGTTTTCCTGTGTAGTTTTCACCAGGTTTCTCAGATTCGTTTGAATTTTATTTTCTCATCCATGAAGAAATAACTATTTAAGTCAAGATGAGTGTTAATTCATTTGCAAATTTGGGTTTAAGTTGATCTATTTATGTTAGTAAATAGGTGAAAATATGGCTGAGTTTTGTCTAAGAGTAACTGATTCCACAAGCACTGAAAAAGTGTTATCTACTCTGGGCTTGGAACTGTGGTGTTCAACCAGAAGCCAAAAATATGGTTAACTCCTGAAGATAACTTCCAACTATTTGTAAAGAAAAGAAAGAAAAATCTTTGCTTTCTTTACATAAAAGAAGTATTTAGATCGTTCTGCATTAGTGTAGTAGTATCTGTGAAGTAAAATCTAGTTCTGATCACATCTGGTTCAGAACAGTTATTTTCTGCAGCCATAGAACTGCTGTCCACAGTGAATCTACAAGACTGTCTTCATGAAAATGCTGGTATTTTCCCTCTTTTATTTGAAAATGCTCAGTTTACATTTTCATTGATCAGTTCTCAAAGTTACTATTGAAAATATGGTATAAAACCCCCTACATGGTGAAATTCTGTTCTTGCTGCTTTCAGAAGACTTGAGGTGGAGTTTGAATACGAGGAATCCTACAGTCAGTGCTATGGGTTTGATTAATAACATGTTGACCTCATTTTAGGGTAACTTATGTTCAATAGTAACTTTGGATTCACTGCAACTTTTGTCAGAGGCTTTTTAGTTAAGAAGCTTCCTCCTTAAAACAAACATGCAAATGTCTACTTAAATTGAACCTGCTCTCAGTAAACAAAGTAATGATGTTTCCTGAGTCTTTTCTAAATAAGGATATTTGTTTTTAATCAACCTTTTGCTTTTATGTTGATTTGTAGAATTCAGAACGATTGAGAAAAAAGCCATTAGTTATGCCTAAGTACTATTCTGAATATTAATATAGTTCATTATTGTGCTATAATATTTGACAATGTGCAATTCTGGATTAGTTTAGTATAAATTAAATGCATCATTTGACTATATTGTCCAGCTTCACTTAAACGCAAGTCTTTTAGGAATGTGTGACAGTGGGTAACATCTCACTGCTCATTAGCCTCAGTTAGCCATGAAGCACCCTGTGTGTGTGCTGTATGTGTCTGCATTACCAGTCAAGGTTAAAACACAAGTCTCTGAAATCTCAGCTTGTCCATCACTCTGCTTTAGATCAGAGGATCATGTGCAGAGCCCATGTTTTATCAGCTACTGTGCTGAAAATGTTTCTGATATCAAGCATAATGAAATAAATCATAGCTTTCTTAGTAGGCTATGATAGAGAAGCCTGTCTCTGGCTTTTTCCTCTTCTTCTAAATGAATGTCTAATCCTACTTGAAAAAAAGGATCGTTCCTCATGCAGCCAGATCAGCATTGCTTTATAATGAGGTTTCATCACAGTGGGTATTCCTGTAATAGGCTGTAAGACCCTTCCTTCTCCTCCCCACCTTCATCAACCCTTGGAGACACTGGGCAGTTTTTTATTTGAAAGTGTCCAGAGATTTTGAACACCAGTTTGGGATGTCCAATGTGTAGCCTCTTGAATAACTTCATTTTTGAGAAGGCTAATCCTAGCGCTTCTCCAATAAAGACTTTCACAGTAAAGTAGCTAAAAATCAGTAATCTTTGTTTTAATTTAACTTTTTCAGCACAAGCTCTTTAGCTTCTTACTATTGAGTGTACCTTTTTTTTTTTTTTTTTTTTTTTTTTTTTTTTTTTTTTTTTTTTTTTATGACTTTTTAAAATTATTATGTAAAATGTGCCTGTGTTGACCTTCTAAAGGTATGGTGACATCTGCTATCAATTCTTTTATTGATGTTGCAGGTGGGCAAACTGAGGGAGAAGATCCAAGAGGTGAAGCAGGAGCGGGAGCAGGAGCAGCACAAGCACACGGCCTACGTGTCCGAGCTGAAGGCCAAGCTCCACGAGGAGAAGATGAAGGAGCTCCAGAGCGTCCGAGAGCTCCTCATCCGGCAACACGAGCAGGAGGTTGCGCGGATGGCCAAAATCAAGGACGGTGAAATCCAGCGCTTGCAGTCAACAGTGAACGTCCTGCGGGACGGGGCGGCCGACAAGGTGAAGACGGCGCTGCTGAGCGAGGCCAAGGAGGAGGCCCGCAAGGCCTTCGATGGCGAGCGCCTCAAGCTGCAGCAGGAGGTCTTGGAGCTGAAGTCTGGCAAAAAGCAGCTCGAGGAGGCCTTGAACAACATTATGCAGGCAGATAAAATGAAGGCCGCCGACCTGCGCTCTGCCTATCAGTCCCATCAGGAGGAGATCAACAGAATAAAGCGGGAATGCGAGAGGGAGTTCCGCAGGCTGGTAAGGCTGCATTAAGTCGTACGTGTGTCACTTTGCAGCAGCAGTTAATGTATTACTGTATCTGCCCACAAATAGATGTCAGACCTGCTTTGCAGTAGCATCTTGCATTGCTGCTGGCTGGTACCACAGACCACAGTTTTTTATTCTTTGTAGCTTAGTGGTTCCCCTCATGGGCCAGCCTAATCCGTAGTTCTGTACCTCTTCAAATAGAGTATGAATGAACCAAATTTTTCCAGCATGAGTTTTCTCAAATAAAAAGATAACCTTCCTTTTCCTACTTGCCTGGCCTATATTTCCATAGAAGGTCACCTTGGTCAGACAGGTCAAGTATTGGCCATTTTGCAAGGAGAAATACCTTTGTGAGATGGGGGAAACTAAGCTTTTTGAGAGATCTTATATTCTTATTTGGGAAACCTATCCGCTGACTCCAGACGATGTCTCTGCTCGTTCTGAAATGTTGCACAGGTCATTCAGTTTCAAGGATTGTTGCCCTTTTCTCTGTTTTTATGAAATCCTTTCACCACTTGTGCCTTTTTAGGCCTGAACTCTTCCTCCCTTAGGTAGGAGGCTGCTCCATGGTTCATAAGACTTCAGCTCAGATGACAAACTGCTTTGTTTGTACAGAGCAGAAGAACAAGCAATATTTCCTGTTAAGGGATGCCCTTAGTATTTCAAACTCTGCAGCTTGGTAAAATATACAGAATCTGTAAGATAGTCTGTACTTGGTAATAGGTTTACAGTAGTTTATCATCAAAGAATGTTTCTGTTTGATACTGTGATGCTTCATGTATATGTCAAGGTTTGGTTTTGTGCTTTGGACTTCAAAATATCAGCTTGCTTAGGCAAAAATATTTTACCAGTTCATGTTCACACACATATATTGTTTCCTTTGTCATATCCCTTAGGAAAAATGATGGTGAGGGCAAGCTGCTAAAAAATGACTGTTTTGTGGTCGTGATTTGTCTGAGGCAATGGAAGCTTTTATTGCAGTTAATATTTGTGCTTGAAATAAATTGGATATCGATCAGCTCTCTGGAGGCATCGTTTTCTTGATTAATTACAGACAGCAGCGGAGATGAGCAGTAAGAGATTTTTGTGAGCTCAATTTTTTAAATACGTTCTTCCATATTATGAATTTATGATCTTAAACTCAGGACTATAAAGTAAAAGTTGTTTTAAAACTATTAAAAAGAAGAGATGGCTGCTACATTTTGACCCATTTTTTTTCTAGATAGTTTCTAGTTGCATTTAATTTTCTGAAGCCTGAGAAATAGCGAAGTGAGGCACATAGCCCTGCAGCCTGGACTCGGCCATCATCAGCTGCTATGCAGTAAATACACCTGTGTTTTACTGTTAGTATTTATTGCCTTTCAGCTAATGAATTTCAGTTTTGTCATGAAACTATATGCATTGCTTTTAGGTAGAATAATTGGTGCTCTAGGAAATCATCATAATTTAAACAATTGTTACCATATAGTTGTTATCGGAGCCTTTAACATAAGAAAGAGGTAAAAAGTAATGCAGAATTCCTAAATGCCTGGAAACTTGGGAACTTGCAATTGGATCAGATTATGGAATCAGTATGTTTCCATCTTCCTGCACTTTAATTGTGAGAAGGGGAGTTAGCCTTAATTCCAAATTGAAGGCCATCAGCTGTGGATTTGGGGTTTTTGCTCAGTTTCTGCTTGTGTGCAAGCATTGCCATTATTCTTAGGACAGGTCTATAACTGAGCCTCAATAAGTGCCATTTTAAAGGGGGAGAGGCTCTACTTTATGGTAGCATTAAGAGAAAAGCATATTTGGTCTTAATGGTCTTAAGTGGGCAGGCTGTACTGTAACTGAAGTTCAGTGAGTGTATTTTGGGATTTAGTCTCTGATCATCTTGCCAGGTTTGGTAGTTTTATCTTGTATCTTTATCTTTTATGTCACAGATGATTCTTCCTTTTTTTTTCTTTTTTATATAGATTACATTGCAGCTTAAAAAGATATTTTTAACATTGATTTTAACATTGATTTTTAATACTCTTGACTAATTTGAGGCAAATCTTGCTTTTGCCTGGCTTATAGTCAAAAAAGAAAAGAAAAAGAAAAAAACAACTGTCCATGGGGATATATAGATACAACTACATTATGTATGTTGGAAGCTAGACTTATATTGTACAAATGTCAGCTTTTGAACAATACAATCTGACACTTTTTAACTTTTCTTCAGCTTTGGATTGAGCTTTGAAAAATAGCCTTCATACAAGATAAATGAGGACAATCTAGTGGCTAGCAAGGAGAAGTAATGTAAATGTTTGTCAGTATATAAAACTCTTTATATTATATGAAAGTACAGAGTAATTTGTAAATTTGTTAGATTTTCTCTAATAGTGATATAAATTAAATATAGACATGGGCACAATGTGCTGGCAATTAGGGAAAATGAAAGTAAAATTAACAAGTAACTGGAAGTTAAAATGAAACGAGATGATTTAAAACTGAAGAGGCAACTTGAATAAGCAGTACAATTATTTTTCTAGTATTTTTTTTCCAGTGATTTACTGTATAGTTGTGTGGCTCTATCAGCTTAGTGGAAGAACTGTGCTGACACAGGTTCAGGGAATAAAAAATAAATAAAAGAAATAAATAGAACAAAGAAGAAAAAAATAACAACCTGCGTTGGAATATATTTTTCTTGAAGGGAAAAAGAAAAAAATCAAGTTTAGGTGTTTGACTCGCAGTGTGCAATACCATAATTGCACTTTTTCATTCATGGAACCTCAGTGTGACCTGCCCTGAAGCAGATGTTTTGCTGAGAGCTGCATAGGCAAGCAGATATGTATGGAAATCACTGCATCAAGGGACTTCTGTTTTAAAGTGTACTTCTAAGTAGTTCATCCAGTTGCCCTCTGAGCTCAGGGTTGATAGAAAATAAACTTAATACAACCTTTAATAGTATAAAGAAATTTTGGTTATTAACTAGCTTAAAGAACAGAACTGAACTGCTATGAAAGCATTGAATTTTATTTATTTTTTAATTCTTTAAAAAAAAATACTCAATTTAAATGTTAAAACAAAAACAAATTTTGGCCAACTTTGGACCTCCGGTGAAGTTTTCATTAAACTGTCCTAGCTTAGTAAAATCAGTTTTAAAACAAAAGTTCCCAGTGGAAGGTCAAGTTTACCTCTTTTTGCCTTAAATCAGCCAACGTAGCATATTCACATGGAAGACAACAAACCAGCCTTGTTCAGTTAGCAGCATAGCTGTGAAAGAGGACATGAGTAGTATATTCAATATAATTGAGTATTGTTAGAAATTTCATTCATTACAGGGCTATGTGAATAAAGCTTTTAACAGGCTGCTATTTGGCATTTTTCTACCCTTTATTTTTTATTGGAAAAAGTCTGAGCAATGGACTCTACCAGGCTTTGAAAAATAATGCAAGAAAATCATTAAATGTATATTGAATTACATTGTCACTTTAGTCATAGTATGACTTAGGAAACACAGCATTTATTTTGTTAGCTACTGGTAATATAATGATGATATTTAAACTGTGGAACAAATTGAATAAATGAGTCGCAATGGATTTTATAATTTGTGCAGTCGAGTTTTAGTGAGTAGCATTTTTTCTATTTCCTGGAAGAATCTTTAACAAAAAGCCCTTCCCTTGTCACAGATTCTATACAACCTTGTTAAAAACTTGGAACATATGATCCTCCTACATGTCTTAAAGTGAATTGAAAGATAATGTCAGTTTTCGTGCTCCAAAAAATCAATGCAAAAGATTCCGTTGCTCTCATTCTGTGCATAGGCTTTTTTCAATTGTGTGCTCAAGTAATCTTAGAGATTCTCGAGACTGATAGGAATCACTTCAGATTCATGCTGGTAGGGAATTAATCTTCATGCTGTTAATGGAATCAAAGAATAACTCCTGCTCAGGAGCAATCCTGACCAGTTGTCATTTGGGAAGTTAGTTGGGCAATTCTAAATGTCTTTAGTCTTCCTAGTACAGATGAACTAGCTGCTTGATATAAAAATATTTTCAAAATTTAGAACTTTCTCTGTTTAGTGTTTTCCAAATATATGTAATGGAGTACTTGAAGAATTGCAGTTCAAACTAATAAACTGCGTGGGGAAAGTGGAAAGTGGGAAAAGATATTGGAGGAAAATGACGCATATGGAAGGATGAAAGCTTAACCAAAACATTGTTTCTATATAAATTTATAACCCTTATTCTCTACTGGGCTGGATGGCTTCTTTTAGCCTTCCTCTTAAAGTTTAGGTTACATAAGCAGCAAACATTTAAAGAAAGAGGTGAATTAATCTCATGCAGTGTGTGCTGTGCACAACACAGGAATATTTTGGATCCCTCCTTTGGGTGGGCTTTTGTGCCCTTCGTAAATATAAAACACGCTAATAACATTTAGTTCCTCTCTTTAACTGTTAAATTAGCCTTGTCTTTCTGCCCTTTTTTGTTCCCCTTATAGCAAATAGTGATTCTCCTGTCAAGATATTCTTATTTTCAATAGCATATTTGAAAGTGCAACTTTAGATCAATTCAGTTTCTTATGGGGAAAAGCACTGCAAAATTTTGTTCAGCAGTTGGCCAGGAGGTGGGAATGGGTAAAAGGGAAGATCTCATGCTTGGCAGTGCAGCAGCTGGCTTTTTCCACTTTGAAAACTGAGTATGGCACTGCCTTCAGAGATCTGCCTTCTAAATCCCTGGGAATTTCTCTTTCAACTTTGTGAGAGGCTAAAGTTTCCCTAAAGGTCTCCGACTTTCTTGTGCTGTAGCTATTAAGTGTGGAATAATTGGCAGGATGCTTTCTCTGATGGTTGGCTTGTGTTTCTTTCATGTTTGATAAATGTTGTTAAAACACTTATTTCTACCTCTTTCTCGTGGCTGTCAGAAGGCTGCTAGATACCTGTTCTTAAGAAACTGTAATTTTGGCACAGACTGCATAAATGCTAACTCTTTGCTGATATAATGCAGGTAATTGCAGTGTTCAGCACCTAACACTTGATGGTACAAAATCCATTAATTAAGAATTGATGCTACAAAAGCTGTAATTTTAACCAAACCCATGGGAGTTACTCATGCTATCCAAGGTGATTTCTTGGTGTTTTGCTTTTGCATTGACCTTTTTTGGAGGATATTTACATTACATTTTTTCTAAAAGCATGTTTACTGAAAATCAATTCTAAACCCCTTATTGGTTCACTACCTTTAGTACAACCCGTTTGTACTAAGCTGTAACATGCTTTATTGTATAGAGTCCTAAAATGTTTTAAATACAAAGAATAATGACAAAGAGTTCCTGTGACAGCTGAAAAAAGAGACAAATTTGGTTTAAGCTGAGAAAAAGTTTGAGACCAAAATAGCCAGGTGGAAGGAATTTCTGGGCTAGGTTTTAATGTAATATGTGAGCCCAAGTCCTGGATTCATGGAATAGCATCTGACTGTATTAAATATATTGGATGAAAATATTGTCTCTCACCATCTGGACCTTGGTGAGAGGTAGCAAATGGATAGTGGTATGTGGAGGAATGCAAGAAAGCCCTAGTGTAAGATCAGTGTAGTCAGCACCTGTCGCTTATCTCGGCTGTGGATTAATTATGGCACAGATGCAGAACCCTCCTGTAGACACCTGGTGCCACAGGTCTTGCACCACGTCCCCAGACCATGAGGGGTTGAGGAACACGGCGTAAAGGCACCTGCTTGTTCAACCAGGTCATGAGTCAGGTGAGAATTGATCCAGATGTATTAGCTTCAAGTGCTGCCCTTCCCATGTCTGCTTTGCTTGTAGTAGAGAGATTGTTGTCTCTTTGCAATGTACTTCTCCATGTGTTAGGTTCTGAGGGATGTCAACTTAGATACATTGCTAGATAACCAAAAAATAGACTATGATCTCAACAACTTACTACTGTTCAGGGTTGACAGTCTTCTTAATGGTTTCCCTTTGCGTTTTAGAGGGGTTAAGTGAAGAGGGAGATTTAAGATGTGGGTTGAGGAAGATTAATCAGGTAACTAGCTGGATGTTTGTTTACAGTTCCTCCAAGCAAGAAGAGTAGCACGAGACAAGAAGTGCTTGACCAAAAATGCCATGAGCTGGTATGGAGGATTGGAAATGGAACCCTGGTAAAAGATAAGGTGTAGGTGGATGGTGGTTAGGTTAGGCTGTGGATATCCTTGGGAGTGAGAATGAATTATTTGCTTAATGTAATGAAAGAAAATCAGTTTAGAGAATGAAGAAATAGGATTTTTGTGACTGAAGAGAGCACTGTTAAGAGTCTTCTGAATGGATGCAAACAGGCAGGACAGGCAGATTGCTAAGGTTAGAAAGGAGAATGTAGCAATAACTGAGATATGATGTAAGAACTTGGATGAAAAGTCTAGCTGTATATTTGGGCCTTAAAGGTGATAGAAGAAAGTGTTTTTATACGTAATTGAATCAGACCTAGGAGAGAACGGAAATAAAGGCAATAACTTCTTTGAGTCTGTAACTAATGAACAGTCTGGGATGATTCTCAGGTGATGTAAAAAACTATAGAGAAAATACAAGGACGGCTGTTCATCTTAATGTGGTGAATTCTACATCCCTTCTGCTGAATGAACATTGCAGTACTAGAATAAAGGGTTAAACACAAACTTGAGAGGTCATGAGAGGAGAACTCATTGTTATTTCACTTAGTACTAATATGTAAATATATAATTAGACTAAAGCAGTTATGGGAAAGCAAGCTTATATATGTGGAAAAAGTTGACAGGCTTTTAAACATACAGCTGCTTAATCTCCTGAAGGGCTTTTGTTATCTGAAAGCTTATTTATGTAAGTTATATCACTTAGTCTAATGAAATATATCGCTTCTCTTTCAGACCATGCTTCTCTGAGATCCATAGATCATCACTGCTATGGTACAGTTGCTACTAAAACCATGTATTTGATCAAAATAGTAACCAGCAGGGAATCAAGACTAATCCACTTTGGTTTCCATTTCCCTGATGGAAGATACCCCAGATGGAAGATGGAAATATTATAATACACGCCTAATCATATAAGGCTCTTCTGTTCTATAATGCCAACCTACTTGTTTTATGTAACTAAATCTGGCGAGACATCTCCAAGAAAAGCAGGGGTGCAGAACTGGCACGGTGACAGCGTGTGTGCTCTAAGTGCAGTTAGTGCAGCAAGTTAAACTGAGTGGCTGCCCTTTCTTCTCTGCTCTGGTTGCTTCAATTTAAATCCATGTCATTCATCTCCATCTCGTCTTGCACCTTCTCTTGCTTTGCCTCCCTGCCTCTAGACCTGATACCCAACCCACGTGGAACTGAGGGAAAGCAGACAGGGAAGATGAACACATTTGTTTTATATTGTGCAAGTCTGAAGAAAAAGAGTAAAGCTTTGGGTCAGGAACTGGAGATGATTTTTTTAGTGAGGTATTGACTGGGTTGATTTAGTAATGCCAGAGAAATCAAAGATGAAATTGCCCTCCTGAGGAAGGGGGAATTGTATTGTCATCCTCAGCTTCTAAAGCAGAATTTCAGGTAGATAAGTTATGGCTGCTGTTCTATTCACCCTTATCAGTTTATATGAAATTAATTGAACAAAATTGCTCTAGTAATTCCTCTTTCTGTTGTTTTGTGCTAGTGATGAAACAAGCTCCTATTGCAATGCTCTGTGCATATGGTTTTGTATAAGAGATTCTCTAGCATGTGAAAGCCAAAGGGGAATTATGACTTAGGAGACATAGGCCTAGTTCCACTGATCACATATATTTTGAAAGACATATTCTATTGCAGTTCCCCAAGCAGCATGCCAGCTGAAATTAGTACTTTTAACATGAAAAAATAGGAAATTTAGTACTTGCTAAGTACTAAAATCAGGACAACCTGTGTAACAGTCCTTCTCCTTGTTAAGCCTATGCATTGCTTGGCCACAGCCCACTCTGTTACATGGGTGCTGTTCACTCAGTTCTGTCCGAACACCTGTGTAACTGAAAGCCAAACTTTGTCCACAGTGTTTAGTTACATGCCCACATTTTTCCCCCCAAGGATCCCTGGGGGATCAGTGTGCATGACGGCACGCCGCGAATGAGACAGCTGCTTGATTTTTGTCATTGCTCTTCAGTCCCACTGAAGCGCCACGTGTTGGAGATTCTTCCATTGATAAAAGCCGCATTCTATCCCTGGAGGTCATTTTTGGCATGCTTGGAAGTAGCACAAGTCTGAGTTAATCTACTAGAAATTAGTATACTGGTTTACTAGTTGATTGAGACCCTTCGAACTTCCCAAATTAGGCAAGAAATCTGCATCAGAACCAATAATTGTAACTTAGAAGTAGTCTAGGTCAAGTTACTCACTTTAAGTCTATCCTTTTTAACCTGGATCATGACTCGGTTTTGTGAGACACCTGCTGCCTTTCAGATTCAGAGACACGCAAGCTAAATTCACAGGCGTTGTAGCCTGTGGAAGGAATCAGCTCAGGAAGAGACAGGTTCTATCTGATCGTGTAATTAAGCATCCTGTCAAATCTGACTGATGCACAGATTAACTGCAGATCAGAAGTAAATTTTTACCATTCCCATGTTTTAAGTTCTTAATGTAGCAAAGCAGGAATTCTACAGGAAAAGGGCTTTAAAAATCTGCAATATGCATATGAATTGAATAACCTCATGATATTTTTCAAGCAAGACTGTGGTTGCATAGGTTGATATTGGTTGAGAAGTTGATTCAGTAGAGGAGATACAGCACAGTTGCAATAAATATGTTGTTATTAATAAATCTGTTTCTATAGAAACTGCTGCAAATTGTCACTTCCTTCAGCATTTGCAATAGTGCCAGTGCTGCAAAGGACAAACCGTGGGAGAGCTGCACCAGGTCCCTGCTAGCAGTCTGCTGTAGGTGGTGTTGGGATGTAGGAACAGACCTGTTTGGTGATCATGGATGGGATTTCCTCGGACAATTTATTCTAAGTCTCCATACATTTTCCTCTTTTCCTACTGTTGCACAAAGACTAGTCCACATCTGTATCTTATAACAAAGACATAAAAATACTTACATAGCTTTAATAATTTAAATTTGTCTCCATATGTATAGCACTTATTTAAAAATGTCTTTGAAAGGTTTCACCATGTGTGAAATGTCTTAATGAAGAGGGGTCAGCATGGGGCTGATGTGCTGAAGCCTCAAACCCAAAAGTTAGGTGGGTTTTAAATGCTGTATCTGTCATGTCCTGTGCCTCTTCTCTGCAAAACAGTGGAGGGAGATGCCTCTGCTGCTCGCAGGAGTGTGTGCATCCTCAGATAAGGGTGCAGCTTCAGTTGCTCTGTATTCTGTTTCAGTCTATGTTCAGTTCTATTTTTGTTTGTGTCTTGAGCTGAGATGTCACTGAGCCAAGCCCTAATGATCAGGTGAAGGCTGAAGCCTTTCCAAGGGGAGGGGAAAGGGCTTCAGAGGCATCTGACTTTTTAGCAATCACAGTGTGGCTGCCTGCGTGCTTCACAGAGAAACACAACTTGGCTGCTGCCCATTCGGGGTCTCCACGCACGGCAAACACTCAGAGATGTCGTGGCAACTTCTTTCTCGCTTCATTTCTTTCCAGATGGATGAGATCAAAGGCAAAGACAGAGTAATTCTGGCTCTGGAAAAAGACCTCGGTGTCCAAGCAGGCCACACGCAAAAGCTGCTGCTCCAGAAAGAGGCCTTGGACGAGCAGCTGGTGCAGGTGAAGGAGGCAGAGCGGTACCACAGCAGCCCCAAGAGGGAGCTGCCCGCCGGCCTGGGGGACATCTCCGAGCTCATGGGCAGCCCGGTAAGAAAAACCACCTTTGCTTCAAGTGTTCAACCCGTGGCCATCGCTGTCCCTGGGGTCCCTTTGCTCTAGTGCTTACGTTTCAAGTATTTACATTGAGTGATTCAAACTCAAGCTTACTGTTTCTTAAGATTTAAAAGGTCTTCTCCTCGTTTGTCATGTGCAGAACAACAACTCCATTCATACAAATACTTACTTTAAAACTTATTATTACCTGAAAGAATGGCAAATAGAGATTGTACTTTTCAAGAAAAACAGTGCCATGTGAATTTAATCTTTGTGGTATGTGCTAGATTTGTTCTAGTTGAGAATAAGAAAGCTGGTGGAAAATTGCTAGTAATAACTGAAATATTATTTATTTATCAAGCTTGCCTTTTTCTCTCCAACATTGTTAAACCTTCACGTATGTTTAGCAAGGAGACAGTTTTTGTGTAAGACATCATGTAGCTCTTTCACAGGATATTTCTCTTTAATATTTTAGTTGTTTAGAATAAGTTTTCCAGGAATTTATGTAAGAAACTAAAATAGATTCACACAATACACCTGCTCTGACTTGATTTTATATTTCTGGATATTACTTTTTTTAGTAACTTGTTATATTTTTATGTTTTTGATTTAAAGGAGCAGCATTTGGATGAACGAGATATGCGGAGATTTCAGTTAAAAATCGCTGAATTGAATGCTGTAATAAGGAAGCTGGAAGACAGAAATACTCTTTTAGCAGATGAAAGAAATGAGCTGGTAAATTAATTAGCAATAAAGCAGATGGTGACTGGAAGGGCATTTTTATGGTAAAAGATTTAATGTTGGAAAGTCAGTGTTATAAATAATTCACATGTTAGTCCTGGTGGGCCACAATCAATTATTCCTAAAGCTAAAGAACTGTACTCTTCATTTTTTTTCCATTAAAAAGCATGGGTGGAATCTCTTTGTTCCAGAGAAATACAACTCTATACTTGTTTTGGGGTCATCAAAAGAGATATCAAATTAGCTAGTACGAGTCCTGTAGCACAATGTAATGTTGTATAAGACATACATAATCTCAGCACTTAATTTATTATATTAATCTTTGAGGTAGTGAAATTTGACATTCGTTTTGTGACATGCTTATGCTAACTAGGAGTTAAAACTAGTAGTTAAAAAGCTTTCTTGTGCTGAATATAAGAAATGTACCACCCTGTATCTCAAGGGGAATCTCTTAAGTAGGTGAAATTATCCTCGAAGAGCGATAGTAACTTACAAAAATAAGGATATGACAAGAATTTTAAGAATGAATTTTATTAGAGGACATAGCTTCTATGTCCTCTAATAAAGTCCTCTATAGAGGACTTAATTGCTTCTACTGAGGTCAGTGGTAATATGCTCATTGACTGTCAATGGGAAGCGAGTTGTAGCAGTGAAAATTTTGGTAAGCATTACTGTATTATATGTGCTCTTATAATGTCCTACTTCTGAAAGGCTTATTCTAATTAGATGAAACTCTTTCATCATGCAATCTATATATTTGATTCTAATGTAACGCTGTTAGATAAACTGAAGGCAGAAGGGGAAGGCACAGCTGCAATATTTCAGTTGTATGACTTGATTGAAGCTTTCACATCTTCCTTCTTGCTTTGTCAGACCTAGCCATTCATTCTGAGGTGGGAAGGCCTTTGGACTGTATGGTACAAAGACTTAATTTACTTGTGACATCTTAAGCTGATCAGCAAAGCAGATGGTTTTTGAAATTTCATGTCCAAAACTTGTCTTAATCTGCATTAGTGGAGTTAATTGGACAGTACAAGAGTTAAATTAGATGATTTGAGAACAAAATCCTGTCTTTTTGTCTTTAAACATTTCCTCTTTAATTTCCTGTAGCATTAGCTGGCCTTTTATATGAAGAGACTGATTCCTCATTAATGATTTAAGTTTATACGGGCAAGAGGAACATGCTTTGTGGCCTGGATACAGTAAGCTATTGCTTCACAAAGCAGCTGAGTGTCTCTCTCCACTTTTACTTGCACTCTTGCTTTTCTCTGCTTTCTGCTCAAAAGCATCTTCCTTGTTTTCAAGATTCCTTTGTGTGGAGGAATTCAGCATCGTCTTCCTCTATGTGGTTATAGCCATTCAATTATATCCCTGAAGAATGCTGAAGCATTGAATGCTGAAGTACTGCAACATCAATCCTTCAGCATCCCTCCAGATGGAGGACAGTCAAACTCGCCTGCATGCTTGATTAGAAGGCAATAGAAATACATTTTGCAAAAGATATGAAGGAGTTTATGTCATTTTGGGAGACGGGTAGATAAACCCAATAATGTCAATACATTTCTGTGATAAAGCACTATGAAAATGATTTTCTTAGAGTGAAACAGACAACCAACTACACAGTGAAGATAGGAAAAAGATAATCTCTTTGCCAGTTAAAACTCAGTAAATGAAGAATACTTTTATTTTGAAAAAAAATAGCTTTTTTCTTCATTCAGAACAGCTCAAGGATTAATGAGATGGTGTGAAATATTGAATACCCACAAATGGGAGAAAGGGCAACTATTTGCCTCACATAATTGTCTACCATCGTAAAACCACAGGAACAAAATTGAGCAGCTTGAAAATGTCAGCAGAATGCTGAGATTGAGTCTCTGCCCTCTGGCTAACTCTCTCATTGCTCTAATTACACTCTAGTTTTAAGATTTTTTTTTTTTTTTTAAGTAATGGAAGAACTGTGTTCTTCTACAAAGGGATAGCTAAGAGGAAGAAAGGTGACTGTCTTGTACCCAAGAGACATATCTACGGCAAGATTAATTTATCAAGGAAACGCTATCTGAGATATCATTATAAGTGTTTTCAAGAGCAAAATCCAGTGATCAGATCGAGTAATTTTGAAGACTGCACAGAAACACTGTTTGAACTCCTGTAGTTCTTAGTTCAGCACTTGTCTATGTCAGATGCCATTTAATGAAGTAGCAAATTTTCCAGGTGAAGGAAAAGGCAAGGGAAACCCCACATTCTTGTTCTTTCAGCACAGCTGAAGTTTGTTCAGCTAAGCAAAGCACAACTAAGTTTGATTCTTGCATTCGCAGCTCAAACGTTCACGGGAGACAGAAAGTCAGCTGAAGCCTTTGGTAGAAAAAAATAAGAGGATGAGCAAAAAAAATGAAGATATGTTGCAATGCATCCAGAGAATGGAAGAAAAAATAAAAAATCTGTCAAGGGAAAATGTAGAATTGGTAAGTAATTGTCCCTGAGGTCTCTTTATTAGAACATCTTGCCCACAGTAGTACAGAGCTATAAGTGCTTGTGAGGCACTTGTATATGTACATTTCAATATACACAATACAGACTTTTTAGAGTGTGAGCAGTTGGATGTTATCACTGTTAAATTCAGTCAAATACAGCTGTGTCATATTCTAAATTCAGAGTGGCTGCTGTCTGTGCTTGGTGTTTTATCAGTTCACGCTGACTAAGGGGAAGGATCACAGCTAGACAAAATGTGTTCGGGTGTTATAAAAACGTAGCACTCAAACTCAGCCTGAGTAATTGCTGCTTTACTGAATATAAATCAAAACTGGATTTGAATACATGTGCCAAACGCCCTGCTGTGATAGATCACTTGCCATTGGGTTAGTATTGTTCCAGACCATGTTCTCAAATTCTGTTTTAAAATATCTTCTGAGATAATGACACAAATGCGTATGGATGGTATAATGTCAGAGTGGGGGAAAAGAGGCCCAATGTTGTGGTGGCACTGGTGAATCTGAAGAATTCTTGATTAACATATTGCCTTGATTAGTACTAGTGTTCTGGCAAGACACTTTAAAGCATTATTTGTATTTTAAGAAATGGATGTTGTTTTTTGTAGAAAGAGAAGTTATCTGCACAGCCATTGTTGAAGAGGCACACGTCTTTGAATGATCTGAGCAGCACACGGGAAGAGCAAGAAATTGAATTCCTCAGACTGCAAGTCAAGGAACAGCAGCATGTTATTGATGATCTCACAGTGGTAATATTTCTCACGCCTAGGAACAAGTGCATGCACACACGTCTATAGGAAAATGAAAGATTTTAGAGGAATATTTCAGTCAAGTTGTAGTAGCGACATAGAAATAATTCTTCAGCATTAGTTAATTAGCAAGTTCTTGCTATTTCACTGGTATTGAGTGAATTTCCTTGGCATCTGTACGTCTGCATTATAAAATACTTCCCTATTAAATATTGCTTGTGAAAAGAAGTGCATCGGTCCATCCACATCCAGAAATGCCTGTCTAGAGCTGAAAAAAGTTGGAGGAAAGGACACATTCCCCATCTTAATGACTGAAACATGTCAGATGTAGCCTGTGATGTAGACCTAGCCACTCCCCTGACTAGAAATTCTCATCAAAAAAAAAGACACGCAGTTTGGGATTCATTTCACCTAATTGTAAACATCTCTGAGCCAGCTACACTAGCTGTCTTTATAGCAAATGGAGAGAAATATGCACTTTTTTTTAATGTTTCATCCAGTATGCTGAGGAAATTCACTGTGTTCTGACTCAGGTCAACTCATATATACTGATATTTAGTCTGCAAGTAAAAGAAACAGGCTTTTTAAAATGTGGTTCCATTTCTTTGTTCTTTCTTATTTAAAGATACCACCTCATTGCCAGAAAAGGAGTTAAAGTGTTAAGTGCTTGGCCTTTGATGAGATAGTGGTGGGATCCTTTGTACTTCCATGGTACTTGTTAACTGTCTCCTCTGGCACAAATCATATCTCTAGAGAATAAAAACGTATCATAAATAAATAATGACCCACATGTCATGTACCTTCTTAATACAGAAGTTTTCAGCTTACCTGCAGCTGAGACTAATGCAATAATTATCATGGAGTTAGGCAATAGAGTTGTCTGAATTTTAGGTTTTGGTTTGTGAGATTTTTTTGTTTGTAGGATATCTTTGGTGCTGTTGAGCACCAAACTTGTTCAACTTGAGTTCACTCACAACAGCAATATCCTGTTCAATTCTTGAAAAGAAAAATTGTGCAAATAAACTCAGAGGCTTGAAAAAGATGCTGGTGATTCAGCAATTTATTTATTTATTTTACTTTGCATTTATATTGTCCCAGTAGATTAATGTTTTATTGAGACAGGTAATTAAGAAGTCTTCTTAAGGAAAATTAGAAAAAGGAAGGAATAGATGGTTCTCAAAGTGCGGTTTGTTCCAAGTGAGAAGACTAGCTGTTTTCCCTAATTACTTGGACACCTGCTTAGGATGCAGGAAACATAGGTTAAAGGAGAAACTGCCTTTAGCTACGATCCTGAGGAGAGATTTTGCTATATTATCTACAATTCTAGTAGTTTTGTTTCACCTTTAGTATATTTTTGTGCAACCTGAAATACCTGTTCTATTCCACTTGGTAGTCAGTACAGTATTTTGAAAAGCACAGGTAGATTGTTGTGCCTTTCTGAATTATTCTGTATTTTCAGAAAACTTCAGAAGTAATGTGCTGACGGAGGTGAATTACTTTATTGGGATTTCCATGGAGAGCTTCTGATTTACTGAGTTTCTGAACTGAATGTATAGCAAATAGGTCTGAGCTGCCAATTCCAGCAGCATAAAGAATCACACCAGGCAATGAGAAACTGCCGCAGAAGCAAAGAAAGTTTCTAGCATTCTTTTTATAATAAAGATGTTGCAAACAAGCATGCAGAGCTAAGGAAAGAATCAGGAAAAAGGCAGGGAGACAGCTGACCTTGCCTTTCCCTTTTGTTTCTTACCACTTACAAGCTTCTCTTTTGGAGTGGAAGGCAATATTCTCGGGCTGGTTGTTTGCAAACCGTGCAATTTCCAGTTGTAACACTCTGATATTATGATATAATTAATTGTGATATTGCACTTGACCTACTAGTTTAAGCATAAGCCCAAGTTCTTTAGATGTGAAAGTGGCTTTGGATTTGGGAATCGCCCAATGGGGAGGGCTGGACAATGTGTAGCACCATGTGTGCATGTGCACCATCAAGTCGTACAATCATCAGCTGGACATGGTTTTGGCCACAGACAGGACAGCTGCTGGCATGAGAACTTTAACCCTGTTTCCATAATGAACTTCTCAGTAAAAGGATCAGAAGAACTGGCAGGAATCTGTGCCTGATATTTAGCAGAGCCCTCCCTTGCCACTCTCCAGCAAGTTGGTAAAATACGCGTCTGAATGTGTTTGCTATAGGGATATAGTGCAGTGTACCAGGCTGCTAGGCCAACATGCTGCTATTTCAGTAGATAAAGATGCTCTATTGGTGTTAGTTTTACCTCAGGCTTTAAGAAAACTTCACTGAGATTCCTTTGTGCTGTGCATGTCTAAGTATATCTTTTAAAAGAAACCCAAACCAAACTCTTCTCTTTCCTTCTAGGAAAGGGAACGGTTGATACGATCTAAAAAGCAGAGGAGGAAAAGCCTCAAACCTCCAAAGGTGAGTGAGTCTTTGGTTTTGTGCATTTGAGTTGCTGTGAAAAGGGCATTTTCAAATATTGCCCGAAATTAGAGGTCTACATACATTAGTGGTAAAACTTCTATCAGCCTGTTCTTGTGTCTGCTGAGTGCTTATTAACATTTAGGACCTACGATATGGTATAACACACAAAACATTTTTTACTATTATTGTTATTTTTAAACCTAATGATGTTTTTAGTTGTCGTGGCTTAAATACTCAAGCAATTTGAGGCCTAGGTGATAGTCAGATGTGACCTCAAGTCATAATGACTTGAGACAGCTAACATTTCAAAGGACCAAAAGGCCTTAAAAAGGAGAGGGAAAAAATAAATAAAAAGCCCTTTAAAGTCCTTAAAATATTAGAAAAAAAAAAAATTAAAAGTCAGAAAAGGAACAGTTGTGTTTCTGTGTGGAGTGAGTATTATCAAGTATATGGTAGTTTAAACTACATTCTGTCCTAAATGGAAATGACACTTGCTTGTGTGTCCTGCCTTCTATACTGCTGGTGACCTGCAGGTGGTGCTTTTTTATTACTTTGTGTTTCATAATATTTAGATCCTGAAAGATTTATGCTTTTTGGCCCTCTTATTCAGTGGTAATGTCTTCAACTGGTTCTTCTGAAACTGTCATTGTAGCATGAAGAAATTAAAATTAGAAGGTTTTCTTTTGCATAGTGGAAGACTGTTGGAGGTCAAATCTATTTACAGTAAATACGAAGCATTCTCTGCTATAGTATATGGGGAAGCTTCTGTATCATGGGTAGAATTAAAAACAGAACTAAAAATACATATGTGTGTATATAAACACACATATGTGTGACATAAAATATATATGCATTTGATCCTATGCCATAATTTTGATGAAAGTTGTCTGTAATTACTAGCTCTCATTTTAAATTGTGTGAGATCTTTTTTTGAGTTCAAAAGAATTTGATGAAAAAATCCAATTCATTTTTCTATGAAAGTTTTTTTCATAAATTTTTTTCATATAAGGTTATAACTAGTGATGCTAACTTTTACAGGTTAAAAAAATCCAAATATACTCATTTCTGCCTTATATTTTCTGTATTAGTAGGCTTTAAGCTGGCTCAGATTCCATTCCTTTCCTCTTCGCCTAGTTTTTCTTGAGAGAAATGCTGCTTTCCTGATATTTTTTTCTTACTTCCTCTATTCCTTGTTGACCAAAAGAAGAATTGAACAGCATGAGGGCTTTAGCAAATGCCTGTGATTCCACTGAAAACCCAGTGATAGTCTATTTTCCACATGATTAAGATTGCTGCAGTTGAGGGTCTTCTGCAAAGGTTATTGCAAGAATTGTGCTTATGAGAAGTGCTCAGGATGTCCTTATGGTGGGTAGATATGTGTCAAAAAGAAACAAATAGTGAATAACAGATACAACTCCAGCCACTTATTGCATCCAGTGGCCATCAATGGATCAGTGGGCCGTATTGCATCTATGGACCATCAGTGACAATTTTCCATAAGAATTTTTTTTCTGAAAAATAGGAATATGTAGTCCTTTTAAAGAGAGGGCAAGTTTAGAGTGAATTGGGGTTTTTTTTTTAATAAATGCAATATATTTCAGTCCTAGAAAAAAAATTCATTGCATTGTATGCAGTGATGCTTGGATGCATGGCTAGTTCATGGTATTTATATCTATACCAGCTTTTAGTCATGTTGAAGTATCTGCATGTCTGGAGCTGATTGTATCCATGCTACCTACTGAGCAAGAACTCAAATGAAAGAGGAAGACTAGTGAAGTAAGGAAGGATGGTAGTGACACAGAGCACTTAAGGCAGGACACTTTTTTCTTACCCCTTCTATAGGTCCAGCATAGAGAGGGGTTTTGAATATTGGAACAGCTACTTGATGGAAAACAGTAGGACTGATTGCATCTTTGAATGTATCATGCTCGGTTTCAAATTTTGCCTCCAAAAGAACATCAATTTCTTCAGCATTTTTATTGATTGTAGAGCATCGAATTACTCTGCTGCTGTCTGTAGTCACAGACTGACTTCCAGATCCAGGTCAGTTGTGTTAGGTGTGATTAGGATTTCAATGATATGAGAGCTTGAGATGAGGGCAGAAGTTTCCTTTGCAGGAAACTATGCAGAGCCATCTATTCTTTTATACTGGTATAAAACCACGTGACTAAAATTTTGCAGGTTTTTGTCTTACAATTGTTATTCTTCACTCTCTGAAGTAAAATATATCTTATCATCTTTTTCCTATGTTTTGTAAGGATACCACAAAATAATCATATCATTGTGATAGATTTTAAGGTATGTATATCCTAAACTTTGACACACTTGTTTTATCTTTTAATCCTTGCTACAACCTAGTTAATTAACAAGTTTTGTTGTTGCACTGTTACGTACAGACACGGCAGCTTGAATGAAATGCAAAATTCACGTTGCAGCTACGTTGCAAAGACCCAGTGTGTCATATAAAAGCTCAAAGTTCACTTCCAAGGGAACTTCCAGGCAGTTGCATTCATAAAGATAATGCTTTGTCATAGCTGTACCTTAGCTCCTATTTAAAAGTTAAACAGGACTTTCAAACAGTGGTCTCAGGTCAGTTGGCATTTTTTTTTCCTTTTTCAGTTCCTGCATTTTGTGAATCAAAGGTGTTTCTGATACACTAATTACATCCAAATCTAGAAAGCCTGAGTTGAAATCATTCAAGCAAGCCTTGTAAATTTTCCATTTTTTAAAATTTAGTCAATATGTTTAGAAGCAAGTACTCACCCAGATGTGGTGTTGTGAGTCACCATCACCATCCTCTCTGTTTTCTGGGAAATTCAGATGAAAATTATAGGATTCATCTGATCAAATATGGATGTCTACATGGCTCAAGTGAGAGATAGACATCTCACTCTGGAGAGAAATCAGCAGCATGAAGATGAGTCCTCCTTTCTGGAAGCAGATACCTAAATGGGCCATGTTAGTTTTGTTTTAGCTCTTGTGTGGGCTATAAAGGCAAGCTAAAATGGGCTGCATTAGACATGGAATAAACAGTGAAATGTGTATTCCTGTTTATGGTTTGTGCAAGGCTTTTAAATCATATAGATGATAACTTAGATATAATAGTAGAAGTAGTTATGGCTATGTTTATCTCAACTACCCTCTCAGAGGGAGAAAATACTGATGCACATATTTTTGTTTTGCATTCTAAGAAGTGCTAAATGTAAAATTATCATTAACCTAATGAATTGTTTAAGCATGGTTGCTGGAGTTGTACATATTTCCAAATGTGTTCCACTTTCTTTAACAAAAGAAGGAAATAATTAAAACCTGTTCCTCATTAGGTTTCATGAAGACTGGCCAGGTAAACCCAGACCTAAAGGTGTAAAAAGATTTCTTCATTGTATAAATAATCTTGCACCTGTACAGCTTTTAATTAATGCAATGCTATTACATTAACGTGCTATTGTAGCTTTTCCTGAGCAGATATGTTTAATTTCCTGCTCCCTTAATTTTTAGTGCACTGCGTTTGCTCTTTCCTCATGTTTTTCTGTCAATATTTCCCTGACAGAGGTTGCTGTTAGCTGTAGCACTGACAGCACGCTCCTGCTGTGTCAACACAGCGTTAGTGCAGCTGAAAGGCTTTTGAAGATACCGACGGTTTAATTAATGTTCACAATTAGGCATCTCTGCTATTTCCATAGCAATGCAAGCGTGCTAGGTTACTGTTGCTAGTGCAGTGTTGAACAGAGCACCCTTAAATACCAGGGGACGTGTGGGCAACCAGCTCAGCTCCCTGTGTGGGAAGGAGCCCCATAGCTGTGATAGGGAGGTGTTCAGGGCAGGGATCTACTCACGGGGTGCATTCAAGTGCTGTTGGGGTTTCCTTTGAGCTGTCTCAGCCAGCAGAGAATTTATTTCTCTGTTAACATAGCATTGGATTTGCTGGATGAAGGATGTCCCAGAGGTGCATGTTTTGTTCCTCGCAGCAGCCTTTCTCAGCCTCTTATGAATTTTGCTAGTGAGAAGATCAAAGAACTCTGGCCATCTTTTTCTTAAGTCCATAGAATGGAATTATATGATTGCCCATTTTCTTTGGAAATTGCAGGACTCTGGAGTTTTATTTTTTTTATGTGAAATTTAATGAACAAGCTGTATTTGTTCATTGACAGTGGCAAGTCTGCATACTGGTGGGATGGAGTTCATATTTCTTAGTTTATGTTTTTCATTTTTTATCTGTCTCTGTGTATTGGTGTGCCTGTATTTTTCTGGCTGCCAAGAAATGACATATAAGCATGAAGGTAAGAAGTTGCAGATTACTTAATATAATTGCATTACTGGGAAATTCTGTTGAATTCCCTCTTGGAATTTGCTGAACCTGTTGCTTCAGTTTCATCATGCTTGATTAATTATTTGAAAATAAGATAAATCTGATTTAAACCATTAAAAATATGAGGTTCTGTAATCTACCTATATTATCTATGTATCATTATTTATTTAGAACATTCTCAATCTGCATTTATTAGGACTTCAGTAGAAGTCTTAATACCTTAGTTGTGAAAACTTAGTGCACATTTTTGCTTTGAAACTATGTGAAAGCATTGATGTAAGTTTTCATTGATGAAGTTTTATTTTCGAAAAAAATATTTGCTATTGAGTATATGACAATAAACAGTGTAGAAGTTATCATTTAAGTCCATGCCCGAGTTGTTTTACTGCAGGCAGTGGTTGAGCTTTGGTCAAACATGGTTGTCATCCTTGAGAGGCCAGATAGCCTTGAAATGAGAGGAATAAGCAGGATCAACCATTTCATAGCTCTCTAAGCTGCTGCTAATACTTCCTGATGAGGTGACCTGGCAAAAGGGATTCAGGTTTGTTAGTCTCATAGCCTTTCTTACAGTTTGAGGATAGCAGTTTGCTTAGCTCTGGTTTCAAATCCCAATTTAAGTTCCCAATACACTTTGCTGTTGGATACAGCCAGTTCTCAGTTTGCAGGACAGAGTGGTGCAGAATGTGAATGCCAGAGGAAAAAATTACATGAACCCTGAATTGCAAGCAAGCAAGTTTGAAAATGTAACTCATTTGAAAATGAGGCTTTATAAAGAAATCTCTTTTATTATATTTCTTGTATTTTGCAAAGGGTTGTCTTGCCAGCCTCCCTCATTGTGGAATTGTGAACAAATCTCACAGTTCCTAAGTGAATGAGCACAGTGAGATAATTGGAGTTAGGAACTGTCTCATATAAAGCTCCTATATCCTTGTGGTTATGCACTCTCATATTGTAGAAATAAAACTAAAGCAGTGGTCAGAGAGGTCCTGATTGTTTTCAACCAGGTTGCAGAGGTGTTCTGTTTTGTTAGTAACTAAGAAAAACTGACTTTTCAGAGGCATGTTGTGGAAACATTTTTTGGATTTGATGAAGAGTCCCTTGATTCAGAAACATCATCTGTAACGTCGTATAATACAGATAAAACAGATAGGACACCAGCAACACCAGAAGAAGATCTGGATGATGTAAGTAGCAGCTCTTCTACCATAAAACAAAATGGAATATAAATGGAGTAGAAATTTTCAACCAAAGAAACCGAAAAGAATTGACAGAGTTGTTTAGTTTTGTTTCAAACCAAAGAACAAATACACATTCATAGCAGTAGAATTAATGAATAGACATTCTGCCTGACAGTTTTGGCAGGATATTGGGCTGGGAAATAAAACTGTTTTTCTCCAGTCTTTCTTTTTAGGTAGTCAGAAGGGGAAGATAAAGAGGCAGGTTTTTTTGCCAAGAGTAAATAGTTATTACACAGTAGTTTCTTAGAACCTTATAATTTACTTGACTGTTCAGCAGCAGCCAGGATTTTCTTGTTGTGCTTAACGATATCGAGAAAGGCTTTTGCAAATCATTAAAGCTTAAATGATCATAGGTAATAAATACCCAGTGACATGTTTTGTCTGGGCTGTGCATTATGCAGTGCAGCTGGCCTACTTGCAGTGCTAAGGACAAGCATGAATTAGGCCATTTTTTTTATCTTTCTGTTTTGTTCAGTTACTTTTGCCTCCTGTGTTTCAGTCAGAACTTTTCATCCATACTTTTGGCCAAAAATATCCTTTGAAAAATTTTCTGATTATCTTGTTTATAAGGGCTTCTTCTTTTGCTAAGTTTAACATCTAACAATGTTATAATCTCTTTTCCCTTGGAGTTTGAGTTCCCAGAGCAAAAATTAGTTAAAGGAAGGAAATTTCTTGCCCTCAGGATTGTAAGCAAGACTTTGACATTGTGGGTGGCAGTTCTTCAAAGATCAGAAGCAAGCTAACACACCAAAATTACTTCAGAATTTAAAAAAAAAAAAAAAAAAAAAAGACACAGTTATTAATCTCTGCATTTCTGTCTCAACTTGAAGTTGTCTTTCTGCTTCTATTTGTGTGTTGTCTTTTTAAACCTGTAATGAACTTAGTGACTCTGTAGGTTTTTTGCATGTTGTGTGTGCTCTATCTGCGCATAAACACACATTAAGTGTATATTGTTCTTGGCATGCACAAAATCACTCTTTTTCCCTCCTCCTTAAGAGCACACCTAAAGAAGAAGCTGAACTAAGGTTTTGTCAGCTAACAAGAGAGTATCAAGCTTTGCAAAGAGCGTATGCGTTGCTTCAAGAGCAAGTTGGTGGAACCCTGGATGCGGAGAGAGAAGCAAGGGTAATTTTCGATTGAAAATGATTTTTAGTTCTGAAATAATTGAAAAAAATTGAATAGCAGGAAATATTTTGGAAGGTCAGTAAAATGCAAAACACTAATCTGGACAACATGTAGTCCAAGCCCTCTGCTCAAGCAGGGTCACCTGTAGGAGTTGCTCACGGTAAGGTAAGAGATGCTGCTGGCTTAGAATGATTTAAAAAGTATTTTAAATAGGATATGGCTGGGTTGCTGATGGCTATTGAGCACACATTGCCGATTTCACTATTATTTCATCCATGTCATTTCCTCTGTCAAGCTTTAAAATCAGTTTATGGAAAAGGTTTGTTTGTGAGGGCAGAGTATCTGTGTCTCCATAAGCAAAGACTTTCAGAGGAAAATTATACAAGAAAAAAAGGGCAGGTCACAGTATCTAGGGTAATTTAATTCCTAGACATAGGATTTAGGAAACTCAATTTATTTTAAAATGTTTCACATTTTGTTTCTTAATGTTGTTTGAAGTGATTAGTTACCAAATGAACGTTTTTTTTTCCTTCCTCTGTGTGTGTGTGTGTGTGTTTCTGTGTGTGATACATCTCCTGTATAGTCTTACAAAAATGTACTCCTATCTCTCAGACTCTCTTCTTAAGTGGGAAAACTGAGTACACAACAAGAGTAAGGACTTTGAGAATCACTTCTCAGTCTCATTGCAGATTTGGGAATAGAAGTGGGCACTCTAATAGTGCAGGTGGCAGCTTTCACCTGCTAGCTCTTTTCCTTCATGATGCTTAAAAATTTTTGTTTCACACTGTGATGTTTGATAATTTAAGAGGAATTACTTTTCCCTTGCCATTGCTGTGGCAATTGCTACTCTTTCTTAGGACTGTTATACTATTAACAATATCATATAATTGTGATTGTTTCTCAGTCTCAAGGATGAGATATTTTTAAGGGAAATAATTTAATTTACTTTAAGGGAAATAATTTAATTTACTATTAAAATAAGATTTCACATCACTCGTGTATTTTTCAGCTATATGAAACTCTCTTATATTTCCTTTGTGCTTATGGGAAGAGAGGCACTGGTATGAATGTTTTTGGTAATATTGTTTTTCCTTTTTAACCTTGCAGGCAACAGCAGGAGTTTTTCTTAGCAGACATTGGAACAGTTGCTTTTTCTTTTTAACAGCATTTCTGGTCTTCTGTGTGTGTGTTACACCCATACAAATCCATGATTTGACAAAGGTTTTCAGTAGGTAGATTTTTATGGTGTTAGTTTTGTAGGGTGGAATTCTGGTGGAATTAACATCTGCTTTTGGAGGAGATGTGGGTAAAGCATAAAAGGCAAAGATGCAGAAGGAACTGTTTGTAGGAATTCCTGAACTGCCTGGGTGAAAGTGTCTGAAGTAGGGTGAGGAAATACTTGTGAGCTCAGGCAGCCTCAGCATTTGAGGATCACCGGAGACATCCTTTGGGTCCTTCTTAGTTCAGGGCCTTGTGTGATCCAGTCCTTTTCAGCCTTCTCTGGACCCAGGAGGCAATACCTTCTTCATAGTTTAGGTATCAACCAAAACAAGAGAAAACTGAGCGGCATATGCTTTTATGGGATAAATGAATTATTTAGGATCGATATCGATATCTATTATTTGCACAAAGACCTTTTTAAAAATCATAGTTTAAATGGTAGGAATTCAGTGCTTATTGTAAGTCTATCTTGCCCTTTTGTCCCCAGTCACCTTGAGTTAGAAAGGATTGCAAATAGCTTCCTCAGCCTCCTTAGCTTTCCTGACCTTTTCTTTTGCCTGCTGGGAGGGCTTTTGTCACTGAATGTGTGGTGGTGATAACGTTTTTCATCTAGGAAGGAAAATGCTGGCGAGTTTAAATATTCTGAGACTTAAGTACAATAGCAGTTATTTTAATAAAAAGCATCAAAATGTGACTGTGTGGCCCAATAGTGGATGGAAAGTGCTCTTATCTTCATTTTGAGTAAATTTGTCTGTCTAGATGTGTATGCATACATGCACACTTTACATTTATTTATTTTTCCAGACTCGTGAACAACTGCAAGCTGATCTCCTCAGGTGCCAGGCAAAAATTGAGGACCTGGAGAAAGCTCTAATAGAGAAGGGGCAGGTAACAGGCTCTCTTAATGTCCTCTACCACATCATTTTCTCCCTTGCATGCAGTGGAGCCCTTGCCATCTTCATTGCTTGCTGGTGTGTTAATGTGACTGATGAAACTTAGCTACTACTCCAGCTGTGGAGTGCTCAAATAAAGGAATATATTAGGTAGCCTAGGGGGGAAAAAAAGCCATTAAAGATTGATTTTCTAACACATAATACACCAGAGCATAATATGATAATCACACATATATGTTTTCTAAATACTCCTCCCATTGTAATTCATTCCAGGCATTTCTCCTATTTTGTTTGTCTTTGCTATAAATTTCAACAAGATGAATAGTCTACATTTTCCCTGGAGAATATTTTTGGTACAAAGCCTAGAAAAATTGGAAGGGGGCGGGAGGAGCTTCAATACCCACTTTCAGCTAGAGAAATGAACTGCTGAATGTGCCTGGTTCGCGGAGACCACGTGCAGTGCTACCCAGCGGTATCCTCTGGAGCTCAGATTCTCTGAGGACTTGGCTGCTTTCAAATTTCCATGCTGTCACACAGGGTAAAATCAGGCCTTGTGCATCAGTATATCTGGTAAATGCTTTAACAAAAAATGTGGCCACTCATACATATTTAATAATATCTAGGATCTCTAGTGCATTTAGAAGATGTTCAGTTGCTTAGTTGCAAAGAGATGTTCAGAAAATTGGGGAGCTGTTTTATATATTTTTTTACTATTTGACATAATTCAGACACCGCACCTAGTATATGGTAATAAAATAAGGTATATCTGTCTGTAGATATAAATTAGAAAAACTAATGATCCTGAAATATCAAATAAATTCCATTATAGGAGTAATACCGTGTCAATGATAATACTATTTTTGTGGTTTATTCTTGCTGTGATAAGCTTGCTATAAGGTTCTGCATGAGTACAAAGTCTTCTGGGCTTCATTTAAATTGAGATTTTTTTATGCTAGCTTCCACACAAATTTCAATTTGCTTAGTAATATTTTACTTACAAATAATTTACTAAAGGTGGATATCTGTGTTATCTGAGAGTATATGTTCATGTAAGCAATTATTGTGTAGTTGAAAATATTAGCAAAATAATTGACTGAAAGCATATAAAATATGAATACTATATAGGTACATAAGGAACCATGTGTACCCATGTAAGAACTTAAATTTTTAGCTTCCAGAATGGTATGTCAAAGGTATCTCTGGAAATTAGATTATAATTATTTATTACTTTATGAGTTTCTTAATCATATTGGCAACTTTGCATCTTTTAGTAATCTTGAGAAGATAAAAAGAAGTGTGACAGGGAACAATATAATTGTTTCGAGTGAGCTAGTTTGTACACTGAGCCTTAGTCTTCCATAAAAATGGTAAAGGTGTCTGCCTGCTAGTTCTAGCCCCTACTCAGTTTCCCTAACCTGTTACAATTCAACAAAATAAATGGTTGTGATGATAAACTGACTGTATGTGATTTTTTTTTAATTGCTAGTTATTCCCTGCCATTTCAGTGGTGGTGGTGATGATGGTGATTTAATAATGCTTGTGAAATGTTCATTCAGGGAGAGACAGTCCCTGAAATAATTTAAAGAAGGAAACAGCCAAACTATTCTAGTGCATTATCTCCGCATTTTTTATTCACATCTTACAGCAAGGCAGCAGAAGCAGCAAAGATCTTCACAGTTTCTTGAAGTCAAACTCATAGCAAAAGATTAGACTCCCACAATTAAAAGATGATTTAAAGTTTGGTTCTTAAAATTAATGTTCAATTTAAAAAAAAAAAAAAGTCAGTGGCTCTCTTTGTTATATCAGCTCTGTCAGAATTCCCCTAAATAAGATTAAGAATCAGTTTTGCAAGGTATTTTATAGTTCCTGCATGATGAACATTATATCAAGCAATTGTTCTAAATATTATTAGTAAGTGATAAATTTCTGAATATTGGAGCATATAATCTTCCAGATAGCTTTTTTGGAAAGCTCAGCACTACCCGTGAACTGCTATGCATATAAATATAATGTCACTGAATTGAAGAATTTCTCAGAAAGTCAAATTTGAGCCAAATTTGTCTAGAAAAACATGAAAGACTTCCAGTCGGGCAAATTAAGTCAACCTTTTCTACAGGTATGAACTGCAGTAGTTGAACCTCTGCTTCTGCTGTAACAATTGTTTATTTTTGTTTGAGGTTTGAAAGCAAATTAAGGGATGTTGATATCCAAATGTCATTAATTTTTGGTAGGATATCCGTATGCTGGCATCCATTGCTGACAAAGAAAGCAAAATTCTTCTAAAGATATTTGGATTTCAATATATTTTTCTAATTTATCTAGAAAATCATTGGTCTAGTTATCTCTCATGTAAGTGTTTGATACTATCTTAATAAACTTATTAAAGCAAAATAAGCTTCTCTACAGACCAAAGAGGGTGACTTCTGGTAATACAATCCTTTAAATCTAATTGTCCAGCTGGCAGTGAATTTTTTGTAAATTTGATCTTTAGAGAGATATTACAGGGGTATTAGAGGGGTTCCAAAACCATGGAAAGTCCGAAAAGCAAAGACCAGCTTTGCAGGAAGTGATCAAATCACAATACGGAATTTTCAGTTGGAATTGAATAAAATCCAGTTTCAGTTGGAATTCAAAAATCACTTTCCTTCCTCCATGGTCTTGAATTCCATGTCAGCAAATGTGTGAATCAGTCTGATTTGTCCTTTGAGCAGAGGGCAATAAACCACATATCACCGAAGCCTGTTTTCACTCCCTTTTGGTAATTGTTTCTTACCTTACCTCACAGAAAATGGAGTTACATAATTCCAAATGTGATGATCTTATAACAAAGTGATGAACTCTTTGCACTGAAAAAAAAAAATATAATTTGGAATAGTTATTAAGCTAAATTGAATAAATAAATGTTAGAAAAATGAAATAAAACATAATGGATGAACAATATTATATTAACTTTTCTATAACTACTATATGTACACATACTAAAGTAAATGCTTTAGTATACAGAATTAGGAATATGAGGCATTGTCCTAGGGGAAAAGAACTTTTATTTTCTCCTTGGTTTCACATACTGTTGAAATATTTATGATGGCTTTGATATGTGACACTTTTAATACTTGAATTGCAATGATGTTTGAAATCTTCTAATTGTTAGTTGTTGTTTCTTCTTTGGCAAAATATATAGAACTGATTTTTTTTCCAATCCTCTCCTCCTCTAATAGGATTCGAAATGGGTAGAAGAAAAACAACTGCTTATCAGAACAAATCAGGAGTTGCTAGAGAAGGTATGTGTCCAGAGTCTGGGGAATGTTTTCATAATTGTGGTCCTTTATGATGAAAGGAATGGCAAGAAGAAATGGATGTGCTAAGTACTGGACACCAATACTGATTTCTGTTCAGAAACAGAGTTCTTGATAGTCTCTGATTAAGTATGAATTTGTCTTTGTACTATTGAGCAGCAAAAGCTGCTCTTTACTATGGAATTGTATCACAATATTGCCCATTGTGGGACCCAAGCTTGCTGTTGTTTTCTGCCAAAAGGCAATTTAAAATACTTTAATGCAAAAACTTTGTATTTTACGCATTACACAAAGCTAAATATTTTGAGGACCTGTTCAGTTAATAAAATTGCCTGTTCACTTCACCCTTCCATTTTTACAGAAATTTTATATCACATTAAGTAATGCTCATTGATGTTTTTAGGCCTGTTAAGTCATTTATTGGCTAAGATGTTCGGTGATTTCACAGAGCTAAGTATCATTATTTTTCACTGATGCTGGTGGGAGAGTTTGCAAGTACTCGGGATGTCATAGAGCTGTGTTTGTTATTGTTAGTAATTATTAAGAATATAATAACTAATTACTGTTAATGGTAATTCAATATTAATACGGTAGAAATAAAATAACAAAGGAGAAATCCATGACTTAAAACTGGCTACAGCTCTACTTACTTTATTAGACATGTGCACAGGTTCTTTAAGCACTATAGACAGCATGCCAGGTGCTACACATCTGTTTATGGTCATATAGATAAAGATCACCCAGTTAAGCCAGCTTTCTTCTACTGGTGAGGTTAACAGAGAGCTGCTTTGGAACTTTTGTGTTGTTGTTCTTAAGGTCCCAAAATGCAAATCTGAAAAAAATGAAAAAGTAGAATTGAAGACATGCCATTGTTGCTTCATTTACTGCAGAAAGCAAATACAGGGATATGGAATACAAGGATGTGGAACTGGCATCCTTTTGCAAGAATGCAGTGGATCCAAGGAAAACACCATGACTTTTTGCTTTGTTCAATTTGTACTGAGCAAAATACTAGCAAATTTCACTCATACCTTTGAGTGTGGTTTAGTTTTCAACAAGGAAGTTAATATTCTAAAAATAAGGGAGATGATACTTGCCCAACAGTCTGGAACCAGTAGTACAGATTTGTCAGCAGTAACACTTCTGTGAAAGCGTGGAATATTAAGAATAAATAAATAAGGATGGGAGGGCAAGGATAAATGAGAAAAATCTAACCAAATATTGTTCTTGTCTAGTTTTGTTCATCTGATTTTAAAAATAATTATATTGCATACTCTGTTTAGATGCACTCATATCTGTCTTCATATTGGCTTCTAGATGGTTATTCCAAGAAGTCATTGCCTGTTTTCGGTTTAGACAGTTTTTAGACAGCTTGTGAAGAAAGAGTTATCTTCTGATGGGATTTTTTTTTTAATTAAGATAAGGTCAAATATCTGATATTAAACTGAAATAAATAGCAATTTTGCTTGAAGTCCTGACCCTTAACTCAATAGAACGTATTTTCTGTTGCCTACTGGGTGTTGTAACATTGTGTTTGTCCCATAGATTTACAAAATGGAACAAGAGGAGAATCAGCTGAAGAACGAGATGCAGGATGCAAAAGACCAGAATGAGCTGTTAGAATTCAGAGTGCTAGAGCTTGAAGTAAGAGATTCTCTCTGTTGCAAACTCTCAAATGGAGCGGAAATTATGTTTGAACCCAAGCTGAAATTCCTGTAACGTTTATTGATGTTTCATGCATGTTTAAGGGAAATCTCTTAGGTGTCTATTTTTAAAACGTTGTATTTTGGGGTACTGAAATTGATACCACTGCCTTAATATGTTTTGGAGAGAGTGCTCACTAATGTTTATGAAGATGTAATATAGCTAATATATATTGCAAGTAGTTTGTTTTTCATCTAATAAAATATTTTGTTTTGCAATATTTTGCCTTTTTTATTTGTTTCATTTCCATAACTTCTCCTTCCTTGCATGTAAATCACTCTTAGTATGTATAATACAACCTTGGTTGGCATTGTTTCAATTAACACTTCTTCTCACGTCTTGCATGCAGTGAAATCTAGAGGTCTGACACATCCATCACATCAATGTGTAATTGTTTTTAGTTACACTGAATTAAGATCAACAGCATTAATATGAAGTGATCCAGAAAGTACACATTTTAATAGAAGTTTCTGCTGTTCTTACCTGAAATCCATTTTCTGATGGTAAAATGGTACTGGATTAAAAATAACTTGGCCTGCAACAAAAGAAAAAAATCCCTCTGAGAACTTCACAGTTAGACTGGTGAGGCACAAATATATCTTGGGCAAGTGAAAGAAATGTGTTGGCCATAAGAAGCTTATTTTATCAAATTCTGACCTTTGAGTAAGTAAATGAATTTCTTTGTGAATAAGAATATGAACATGTACCATAATGAGTTGAGTAGAAAACAAAGGTCCTCTCCCTAGACGGGGCCTGAGTAGAATCCAGCAACACCAACATCCTTGTGCGTGATGCAGTGTTGCATTCTTGGTTTGCCTGATATCGTGTGGTTCAGGCTAAAAGATTAGCAACATTCTTAACACCTCTTAGCATAAACTCTTCACAAAATCTCTCAGCCTCTCCATAATTTTCATCATCCAGCACATTTTACCAAAAAACTTGGCATGTGTAACTCTTATGGAAAGGTGAAGATGTCATGTCATCCTGTTACGTGGACCTTCTGCTTTTGTCTCTGACATTTCTTAATGGATTTCTTTTTTATTATTTATTTATTTTATCAACCATGTGTTTTGATGTCATAACATATTACAGTCAAAGTTATGAATTTGGGTTATTAAAATTTCAGTAGATGTTCAGGAAATTAAGGAAGAATTCTAATATCTATTATTTATGTTTTATTAAGCCACTGTAAAGTAAAATACTGAATAATTTAGCAGTGAACCTAGCATCTGCTTCCCAAAACATAAGTATTCTTAGAAGTAAAACACTGGATAAATTTTCAAATCTTCCACCAACAATGTGTTTAGCTTTGTATACCTGATGAGTTTTTTGTTGTTGTTTTGTTTTTTGTTTGTTTGGTTTTTTTTTGAAGGACTTGTTTTACAGGACTATATTTAAAGTGACTTCATCAAAAAAATTCTTGTTTGGCTGGCAATCATAAAAACATAAATGTGACTGACAATGTGAATGCTGTAGTAAATTATACAAGTTTCTAATAAATATGGAAGCATTTTTATTCAGAATTTTTTTCAGATGAAAATAGGTTAGAATAAACAGTCATCTGTGTATCCTTTAGCAGAGGCAAATGTAGGTGAATTTAATAGAAAATGATAAATCTAAAATGGCAAGTGAATTTGGACAAGAATTAGTCTTCTTGCTTTGTATTGCAATAGCTAGGTTATCACTTAGTCTCTTTTAAAATTAGATTGTTCATGGAAATACCATTTAAAAGAGATACTAAGAAGAAAAAATATATTTTTTAATTTTTATGGTTTCAGATTAGTTTTAGGCTAGTCAGTGAACACCGGTTGCTCTCTACCTGCTTAACTGAGTGGCCCAGCTGCCGTCTTGATTCAAGCACCTCAATTTCTGGTTTAGAAAAGGAGGCAGTAGGTGGATGGACTTGGGCACTAAGGTAGTCGCTCTTTCCCGGTGTTGCCGGGAACTGAAGCTCTTGTTTGTCGTCTTGAAAGACCGAGAGCAAATCTGCATTTTCTCACTTGTATTCCCAGTGCCTTCATTTCTAGAGCTTCCTATCCAGTCATTTTAATGAGTACTTTGAAATTTAATCTATGCAATATCTCTCACTTAAAAAAAAAAAAAAAAACCTTTTTTTCCTAAATAAATAGTATATTGATTTTCTTTTTAAGAAACACTTGAAAATCAGCCTGACTGGGTTTTAGGAATCATATAGTTTTAGATAAATGTGTCTTTATAATTCTTATTTTGACACAAAGAATACTGTAAGACTTGGGTAATGCTGCCTTTCAAACATATTCCTAAATCCTGCACTGTGCAATTAATAGGACTGGGGGTTTTGTACGCTATAATATAAAAGTTGTGAACAGGGAATAAATTCCCAGCTTTAAGTCTAATAAGAAAGTAGTAATACCATTTTATTGTGGAGAGTGCACAAAATCTGGATCAAAAAATGGTTTGAGGGAGTATGAAATTTCATCTGTCTAAGTAGTTGCTTGTTGCAAGAAAGAGTTAAGTAAGGTTCTGCCTCCCAATAAAATATTGTGAAGAAATGGTCAGGGCTGCAGCCGATTGCTTGGCCCAAATACAAAGATCCTTGGACCTGGGGGGGTGTCAGTTAAACCTGCAGAAGCTGCTTGTGCACAGAGCTAGTTGCAGAAACCATGGTCGTTTTTGTGCTTAACTAAACTTCAAGTCCTTTTAAAGCATGCTTTTTTGATCTTGTAAAGGAGGGAAATAGATGTTTATATGTAATCACCTGTATTGTTTTCAAACAAAATCTTTCCTCAGGAGAGAGAACGAAGGTCACCGGCATTTAATCTTCATATAACCACCTTTCCTGAAAGCCACGGGAGCGCGCTGCAACTCTTCTGCCAGCAGGAAGGAATAAAGGTATATGTGGAGCCTTGGAGGTTAGGAGCTTTTTTGGAATGACCCAGTAGCCCAATGAACTCAATTCCATTTTTAACATTTTGCTGCAGGTAGGAAAAAGGCTGAAAAATAAACACACTAGGAAAAGACATATGTAATGAGGGAAAGGGTTGCGTAAGAACACAGCCTGGCAGGCTGTCCAGGGTTCATCCAATGCCTGTCAACACTCAGCATTCAAGACAAGTAGCGTTTAGTCTGTGGTACTTTAGTAAAAACATTGCCAAGAGGCAAAGGTTGTCGAGGTGAGCACTGCCTTGCTTGCTTAAAAGTCTTCACCTAACTTTGCAAATATGACAGCCACCTATTACCAGCTTGATCCTTATTTTGTATGTTTAGCAAAGCACCTAGATGTTCTGTTTGTTGGCTTAATGTGCTTACTGTTGCCTCTGCCACAGCCTTGAGTTATGAGAGGCCTGATGCAAACCTCCGTCACATAGGAGAGACTGACCCATCGCTGTAGATCAAGCACAAGATAAACATGAGGATCTCACCTCTGTTATGAATTTAAAAAAAGGGTTGTCCTTTTCAATTTCTTACTGTCAGCCCATTCCAGGCAGTGTGGACAGAGTCACGTGCTGCTTGGCTTTATGTCTGAATTCCACACTCACTTTTTTAGTTATGTTGTGTATCGGGCCAGGATAACTTCCGTGATTAACTGAAGTGGAATATATCTTTGTGTTATGCTCTATATCATTTACTAGTAATTTGCTTATATTTGTCTTCACAAGCTCCATTGTCTTCACAACCCCATAAAGGGTTCTTTCATTTCAAGGCCTTAATAAGCGCAATACTATCACTAATGCAAATAGGCTGGATTTATAGGCAGGATATTGTTGAGTATTCTAAAAAATAAAAATAGGTAATTAGAACCGATTCCCACCTACGGATGTGATTGGAGAATAATTTCCCAAAGCAGCACCAAGGGTCATCAATTAATGTATTACTTTTAAAATGGACTCTCCAAGGGATGCCATATTTGCTTTTTAACTTGCTTGCAGCAGATAGATCCAGAATCTTCCCAGGATCTGGAACTGCTTTCCTCCCTCCCTCTCTCTTCCCTAAGGCCCCCTCATGATTCAAAATAGAGACATTTTGAATCTGCCATTCAGTTCATTTCCCTGGGAACAGGGACATCTGAGAGTTCTGAAATTTAACTGGGGCTGTGGCTGACTTCTCTGTCTTTTGAGAGCCTTTGAAAATGGATAGACATTGGTGGCAAATGTAATACTATAATGATGCAAAACCTTACTTGTTTTTTAAATGTTCTTTAGATTCACGATGTAAATAAATTAACTGAAATGAATATTTCTGGCTTAATAGCCTAAATACCTTCTGTTTCTCACTGAATTACATATTTCATTTAACTTGATTAGTTAAAAGAGATTTCCTTTCATTGTTGTCACTGCTGGTTAAAACCAATAGTTTTGTGTTTAATACCAATCCAAACACAGAGGTATTTTAAGCTCGCATGGTTCTGAAATTATTATTGTGCACTCTGCATTAGATAATGTAGTATTTGGAAACACTGCTCAAGTCTTTGACGAGAAGAGGAAGAGTGCGAGGTAATTTCCAAAATGGACTGACTTGAACACAATGCATTATCTACAATACCCTGGTTTTGGAGCCAGAAGCGACTAGTTTATACAGAACAGTTGTTAATTCTTACCTACATTTTTTTATGATCCTTATCATAATATAATTTGTAAAGATAGGTAAGTTAGTTTCAAAAACAGGAGAGAAAGGTTGTGTTTGCTACCGTATAATGCTGTTGAACAATGTGTAGATGCAAACTTCCATGTTACGTACTGTGAGTCATGAAATAGTGACCCAAGGCAGCCCTGTGAAATGTTGGCTCTTGTAGGGAGTGCAGAGGGTGTCGGCATTTAACAAATCTGATTTTTTTTTGTTTGTTTGTTTGTTTCTTGATATTTGGAACATGAAAGCCTAGGCCAGTAAATGTTCCTGGACTGCTTACTAGCACTGAAGTAAGGACTGGTCTTTGCCCGTTAAGACCTATTAAGACCCCCTATCTCCCACAGCAGGGTGGCTGCATGCAAGCTGGAGTGAATGACTTTTACATAGAAAATAGTGTTCTGAGACCTAGGAGTGTGCCATGGGCCTCTTCAATTAAAAATACTGGCATAGTTTGTGGATTTAGTCCTCCTTTCTGTTTTTGAGAGGAGGGTTTCTCTTGATATCAGTGAGGATAAAAGTGGGCCTTAGAAAGGCCAGTCTTTCTGCTCACGTGGTTGTGAGCTGATGGAGTTGGGAGGTCAGCGCACTGTGCACCTTTCCTGCTGCCACTGCTTGATTTGGAGCTCTACTGTTACGCTTAGAAGAAGAAGAAGAAGAAGAAGAAGAAAGGAACTTTCGTAGCAAATATTTTGTGCTTCAGCTCATGGTTTTTGTCTCATTAAACTCTACAAGATCACACACTGCTCCAAACCCTAAGCATCCTGTCCTTTTAGATTTTTCATGTGCTCCAGCAGCAGATTGGTAGATGCTAGCACTGCCGTGTTCATACGGAGATAGCCAGGTTGCTTGCTGTCATCCAGTTTTGGCTCTCAAAGTACTGATAGCACTTTTGCAATTACAATGCAAAACTAATGTTTAACTGACATGTATTTCAAGGTTTTTTGCATGCACATGTGAATTAAAGGTACATAAAATGTAGTGTATAAAACTATTCTATTCACTATTGACCTTTATAAAAAAAAAAAAAAACAAAATGAGTGTTGAACATCTTTTGCAGGATGTGAATATATCTGAACTTATGAAGAAGCTAGATATTCTTGGAGATAACGGGGTAACAATTTTTAAATTTCAAGTATCTCTAACTTTGTGGTTATTTTTAATAACTTTTTTTTAACAAGATTTTGTTTTCATACCATTGAATAATCAAAGTTATTTTCGTATGCCTCTATTTTCCTGATCAATATCAACGGTTAGATATTGGCCTTTACAAACATAAAAGCAAAGTTTTCAGCTAAGTTGATGTTAGTAAAAAGTATTTTCTGAAGATAGGATTTGATCTTGACTCAGTGACACTGCAGTAGGCATGGGAATAAGAAATAAAACATCTTAGGGGAGAAAAAATAAAGGCAAAGACAGTCCAAATTTTTCTTGATTTTTTTTTTCTCTTCGAAAGTGACGATAGCCCATGCTAGAGATGCCTCTACCAGGGATGGATTTACTGGGAGAGAGGGCAAAGATAAATAGTTCCCTTTCTTACCTTCACTGTTAAAATTCACCAGCTGTAGCATAAACTCTTGGTCGTGTGGTTGGGGCACAGATGTCCATGGTGCTGGGTTCAGTTTAGGTAGCTTTATACTAGTCCTAAGCTTCAGATTTATTTTTCATGCTTCAGGATCTGTGGAGATTTCTCCAGTAACTGCTATTTCTTTGCTTTATATTGATTAAGTTCAGCTCTGGACAGCTTTCAAGGTACTCAGCAGGAGACTGGTTTGCTGCAGAGCTGCAGTCCAGTGAAATGGCTTTTTTATTTTTCTGTCTAAAAAAAAAAAAAAAAAAGAAAAAATCAAAATCTGTCATGGAACCCACTCAATTCTCACTAAATTACAACCCATTACAAAACCGTTGTGGGAGTGGGGTACTGAACTAGAGTAGAAACCAAGTACCCTTATTTTACCTTTTACGCTTTTCAGTCATGGGATCTTTTCTGTTCCTTTTTATAAAATACTAAATGTTATAGCTGATTTACTTTGATGCTTTTGAAGTACTGTTAAAATTTATCACGTGTTTGAAGAGTGCATTTCTAATCCAATGTAAATATAACTGCACCTTTTTGTATTTTAGAATTTGAGAAACGAAGAACAGGTTGCAATAATCCAGGCTGGGACTGTACTTTCTCTCTGTGAAAAGGTAGAATTCAGTAAAGGCAGTTTTGCCTAAGACTGACTATATCTTTTAAGATCCTAACTCATGACTTTGCAGGGAAAGCATGTTTTTCTGTTAAGTTCATATGGTTTGGAGCATGTATTCATACTCACATACATGGCTTTATTGGGACTGTGATGTCTTTAGGTGCAATCAATCATTTAAAATAAATTTCCATTTAAAGATAAAAATTAATTTGGGAGATATTCCCATAGAATAAAGTAATAAGAAGTTACTGAATCAAAGAATCACACTCAGTGTTTATTTAGGTCAAACCTAATTTACTCAGCCATTGGAAGTGATCTTTTGGAAACCAAGCTGTGAGGCCAAGAAAGTTTCTAGGTATTCCTGGCATAATTTCCCGAGCTCGTTTTCAATGCTACAACTGATTATGATTGATAAATACATGCTTTTCTTTTCCTATGCCTCTTGATTTCAAAAAGCTTCCAGGCACAGGAAGGCCAGAATCAGCATTTGGATTTATATATTATTTGTCCCTTCAAAAATATGGACATCTAATTTTTGCAAATAACTATTCATTTGAAAATGCTGAGGCTAACTGTGAGGATATCCCATTTCGGTTGGTTTCAAGAGTTCATAGAATCACAGAATGCCCAAGGTTGGAAGGGACCTCAGAGGTCATCGAGTCCAACCCCCCTGCTCACGCAGGGTCACCTAGAGCACGTGGCACAGGGCTGCATCGAAGCGGGTTTTAAAGATCTCCAAAGAAGGAGACTCCACAACCTCTCTGGGGAGCCTGTTCCAGTGCTTTGTCACCCTCACAGTGAAGAAATGCTTCCATAAGTTCCTGTGGAACTTCCGATGCTTCAGTTTGAAGCCATTTCCTCTAGTCCTATCCCTGCCCACCACTGAAAAGAGGCCGCCCCCTCCTCCTCACTGCCTCCCTTGAGGTATTTATACACGCTGATCAGGTCCCCCCTCAGCCTCCTCTTCTCCAGGCTGAACAGGCCCAGCTCTCTCAGCCTTTGCTCATCGGGCAGATGTTCCAGGCCTCTGATCATCCTGGTAGCCCTGCGCTGGACTCTCTCCAGCAGCTCCACATCCCTCTTGTACTGGGGAGCCCAGAACTGGACGCAGTACGCCAGATGTGGCCTCACCAGGGCTGAGTAGAGGCGGATGATCACTTCCCTCGACCTGCTGGAGACGCTTTTCTTAATGCACCCCAGGATCCCGTTGGCCTTCTTGGCCACCAGGGCACACTGCTGCCTCATGGTCAACTTGTCGTCCACCATGACACCCAGGTCCCTCTCTGCGGGACTGCTCTCCAGCAGGTCCACCCCTAATCTGTACTGGTGTCCAGGGTTATTCCTCCTCAAGTGCAGGACCCTGCACTTGCCCCTGTTGAACCTCATGAGGTTTCTCACCGCCCAGTCCTCCAGTCTGTCCAGGTCCCTCTGGATGGCAGCACAGCCCTCAGTTCAGAGTACTCTGTGTCTTGCAGAATCCTTTATCAGCAGTGAGGCTTTCATTAGGAATATCTTTAGTCTATCACCTTCAAAATGATGAAAAGAAAAAAAAAGACTTAAATGGGAACGTATTCTCTGAGGAATAAGATGTTCCCATTCACTTCTTTCAACTGAATATTCAAAGCTAAACTTTCTAAGCAGATGAAAAGAATTTCTGTTTTTACACATCGGTGTCTTAAATAGTGGAAAGGCAGGATGATTTCACATTTGGCATATTCTGTAACCTCATGTTTGCAATTTCCTTCCTATACCTTTTAGGGAAAGAGCATATGTCACTAATTCCTTTGGATCTCTAAGCACTGATGAAATCGCCAAAATCCTGAATTAAAATATTGTAGTGTGATACCAAAAGAATTAATGCGAATAGGCACAAATCTAGTATTAGAAGGCCTTACTAATGCTAAAGCATTATAGAGAGCGGTAATAACTTATTAATGAGTGGCGAAGATCTGGCTGATTTAGATCCAGTTGAGTTGACTGCCTCTAGGAAAATAAGTGTTAAAGTACACTCCGTGTAAACTAGTCATGGCCTTTATTGTAGGCCAACAAAAAGAAGAGAAATAAAAGGACTTAGACAAGATATTTGCCATCTATCCTGATAAATTTAAATGCATAAGATTGATATAATATATACCTGCTTACAGTTAGCAATTAATTAAGCAAGAACCTTCGATCCATGCTCTTGGCTTTATGATTTTACATTTGCAATGCAGTGACCCTTCTTCTCATTCTGACTGCTCTGATTATCCTCAAAATGGTGGGGAAGTCATCGTAGTGTTTGCATGAACTTCCTACCTACCAATTTTATTATTCTGCCTACTTTGCTGGTATTCTAAAGTGAGCTACTTCCTAGGAAAGGCACAGTAAATTGTACAAAATAAAGGCATTTTTCTACCTTGGTTTCTGATTAAATTGCTCTCTGGAAGAATTGAGGACCTCTGCCCTGAAATTATATGATGTTTTTGCAGTTCAGGATAAGTATTGGATATATCAAGATGGAAAGGATCAGGTTGATTTTTGCATTCCTGACACAAGTCTATCTTGATATTCATGAGGGGGAATCCTTTTTTATAGAAAAACAGCCTTTACTTGCTCCTGACACTTGTTCATTCATGTCTCCCACTCTGCCTATAATTTTTACTGCTTGCTTACTCGTAATTTCAGTGTAAATAGAAAATAAGGGGGAAACATATATCTGGGAATAATGGCAACAAACTTGCAAAATGTTCAGTGCAGATTTTTCAACAGCTCTGTTTATTTTTTATTTTCCTCTTCTTACTGCTATGCTCCTGTAGTGGTTAAAACAGATAGAGGGGACAGAAGCTGCACTGACACAGAAGATGTTAGACCTAGAGAATGAAAAGGTAAGGAATCATAATTAAAATCGAATTTGTTTAGCTAAATGTTATTTCAAGGGAAAATGTATGAACTTAATTTGCTGCCTTTCTTTGCTTAACAGAGCTTGCTTTATGGTAAAAGTGACAAGAGTTTTCCAGAGGTTTACTGCTTCTGCTCTGAAATTTGGGGTGGGAGACAACTGTCACAACATTATACAGTGAATGAACATACAAAATAGCACATAAAGGCACAACTTTACAAAGTATATTAGCCAAGCAATGTGAAATTGTCTTCGTGCTTTCTCTATGTATTAATTTGTCTGGCAACTGCATCATCTTTTTAACCTTGGGGTCATGTTAGTAGAATGGAACAAAGACAGCACTTTCTGGCGTTCAGTTCTTGGACAAGTTGTAAAAACCTATTCTTAGTCCAGATGACCTTTCTTGCCCCAAGGCCTTCCTGCTTCAATACGGAACCTTTTCCCAAAAGCCACTCTTTCTTGCGTAAAAACACTCAGTGCTGACATGGTTTTTCCATATGCTGAACAAAGGGCTTTGGAATGAGTGTTGTTTTATTGGCTTACCATGCATGCTGCACTTGTCATCTGCAAACAGCTTTCAAAACACCAATTAATCCTCGCCACACCTTTTTCAGGTAGATAAGTAAGTAGCATTACACCCTTCTTGGAGAATGGGAACCAGAAACAGAGAGATTAAGTGATTTGCCCATGGCCACTGAAGAAGTATATATTTGGGCCACAATCAAATAAGTGTACTTAGTGCTCAGAATATGTTCGCTACTGTTGTGCAGAGCCTATCATACTGGTTGTACTTGAACAGATGATCATACTTGAACACATGACCCTTTCCACATTTAGCATTTCTTTAACTCCTGTTAGAGAGAGTGTAAAAGTAATGGAGAGTCCAGAAGTGCTAAGTTCTTTTATAAAAGAAATGAGAAAACAAAAGCTGCTTTCTAACTTAGCTTATTACCCTTCCAACTTATTACCAGTGGTGTTTTCAGCTGTTGCTCTGGATAGCCCTTTATTTATTTTAGTGTACCAATTGGACAGTCTTCATTGACAATTATTGTGTCTCTTTCTGAAGAGCTGAGCTCTCCTTTAATTGGCCTTGAAACCCAGGAGAAGTGTCTGAGATCCTACTCTTCAGTCCCCTTCCCTCTTGCCTTTTGTGATCACTCCACAGGAGATCTTGAAGAGACAATTTGATCAGGGCAGCTACATTCCTGTTCTAGGATCCATTGGTAGCACTACCTCTCACTGCTCTGTAGTCCTGGACAGGTCACCCTTTTTTCTTTGGGATAAGCCAGATGTAGGTGTGTTAACGGCAGGCCTGTCCTTTGTGTGTTATATGGTGCAGAACAAAATTGCATCTTGCACAACAGCCAGGTAGATATCACTCTAATCCACATAAGAAAATGGCTGTTTAATGCCATATGTGTCATCAGGCTGGGATTCAGTTGATTAAACATAGTGTCTAATGCCATATTACAGTCTTCAGGTTTCTGCATGGGGCTGGAATCTGCTGGAGACTTCTGCACTGCTGGAACAGCTGCTGGAGTAGCCTAAAATTACTAGAATAGCACTAAGCACTCATATACCCGAATCTCAGCCCCAAGTTCAAGGCCTGAGATTGTCTCTAGTTTTAATTTTGATTCACAGATAACTCAAGAAAAGAAATGGTGAATAACAATAATTAGAGTCCTGACACAGAAAACCCATAGCAACTTATTCAGTCTTTTAATAATGCTCCTATTTATGTGTGCTGCCCCAAATTATGACTGTTTTTTAGCATGTGGGGCATGACCATTTGTAGGCATAAAGGTGCTTGTAGTCATTTTACACTCACAGCCCCTCTCTTCTTCCAACTGATGAGCTCAGCAGATATTGTTTTTTTTTATTAGACTTTTGCAGTGAGATTTCATGCCAGTGCTACATATACAATTCATCAGAAAAGTTTAGAGTTGCATGTATATATTTGAAGGCAAAATTTGATGAAATAAATGACTTGAGGCCAACCCTAAATATCTCTACTGTATTGCTGATATAGCTGCTACAGTCTGCGGGTAGCACCATTCCTTGTTATATTTGGGAATGGCTGTAGTACTAAAATAAGTCATTAAAACTAAGCAGAGCAGTAACATTCGCTTTTTGAACCAGCATAAGAAAATAAAACAAAACAAAGAAACAGACATTTTAGGGTTCCTTATTTAGGGTTCCTCATCTGAAGCTTTAGCTTACATGTTGATGAAAAGTTTGTTGAAAAGAAATATGAGAAATACTCAATTCAGTCACAAGACCTTTCTGCTTTCTGAACTACGCATTTTTGAGCATAACAACTCTCTTGAAAGAACAGCTAACAAACCAAGTAACTACTGTTCTCCTTATGATCACTATCATCACTCTGAAGGCATGTTTTGTAAGAGGAGGGTCACCAGCCAGTTCTAACTTGGTTATTCAGACAACCTTTGTAAGCCCACAATCTTCCTTCAACATCCTGTTTTTGGTTACTAGGCTCCATTGAAAACCTAGCTAGTGTTGTAACTGTATCCTATAAAGTGCTACTTTAAAAGTTAATGAATTTGATTTTAAACACTCCATATAAAACTGAAAGCTTCTTCAGCTCCTTAGCTAATGTCACTTAACCTCTCTGGGCATCACTTTATCCATTGCAAATTGGCTTCCTATCTTTACAACTTGGAGTGAATTTTTACTTCCTCTTTGCAAATGCGTCAGGAAGTGCATCTAGAACCCAGCTGGAATCACCCCTCGGTGTGGCCATGTCCTGCCCAGAAGAACAGGGTGTCCAACACAGATTAAAGTTTGCAGCATGACTCGCTTTAATGGCACATACAGATTATTTTCAATATAAAGCAGTGCCGTCTGAGCTATGAGTCTTCTGCCACCCTTGGCCTGCCCTGTGCAAGTCATGGCTCTGGGGTCGCATGCATGCATGTTCACCTTGCAGGTCTGTAGGTTGCTTTAGAGGTCTGTATATTGCTTTAGGGGTCTGTACTCTCTAGGTGCAACTGTTTACTACAATTCATGTAATTTTAAGTGCTAATAGAGTAAATATTAAGTGCTAATAGTGTAAATTTAATATTCTAAAGAGCCTTCTGATGAACATGATAATTGGCTATGGACTTTTTGCTTTCAAGTGGAAAGCTTGTATACAAATGATGGCATTTATGATTCTTCATGAATTAGGATAAAGAACAAACCGTCCCTTGTTTTTATTATTGCTCAGGACCTGTTCAGTAAACAGAAGGGTTATTTAGAGGAAGAACTCGACTACAGGAAGCAAGCTCTGGACCAAGCTTACATGGTAGGAAAAGAACAGTCATTAAATTGTCATGCTTGAACAGGTTTGATAAAATATATTCTTTTTATTGATTATAAATAGGGTTCTTTTTTAATTGATTTATTGTTCTACCAGACTAGTAAATTAAATACTGCTTAAATGGAGACCTGTTGACTTAGGAAATGCTTTTAGCAGTTGGAAGTGTCGCGATTTTGCACTGCGATTTTCATTCTAAATTACGTGAACATCTAAATTACATGAACATCCAGGGGGGTTGGACTAGATGACCTCTGAGGTCCCTTCCAACCTTAAGCATTCTGTGATTCTATGATCTTGTTAGTACATCTAGAATGAGAAGAGCTGGTTTATGCATGTACAAAACTAACACTGATAAAATAAAGCAATGTTGCTTTTCCCTAAGTGCTTGTAAATATTTGATGCTGCTAACTTTTCTCAGGCCAGAAATCCCTTTTCTCCCTGTTATTCCTTCCTATGCTGTCCTTTCCAACCTTACCTTTGCTAGTTTTAAAAAGGAAAGCTGAAAGCTTGCTTCTTCTCAGGCTAAGCAATGGAAAAAAGGAAGTCTCAGAAATTATTGAAGAATTATTAAAACAACACACTCCATTTTCTTAGAATAAGAAGACATCAGGAAATCAAAATATGTAGCATTGTTTATACAGTATGAGTATTTTGTACATGGAAAATGATTTCAGAGAAGAAGCAAGGCTCAGAGCAGATAACTGAGGCAAAGCAAGTAGAATCCCTCCTAGCGCGGTGACCTTGGGCAAGCCATTTAACCTCTCTGTGCTACTGCTTTTGCATTGCTAATATGAACAGGAAGAACTACCTACCTCACAAAGGTGTTATGAGGGCTAAGGGGATGTTGTCAGCTGTTCTTGATCCAAATATCATCGGTCTTGGTGGTGGTTTTTAATAGGAGCATGCTAGTCCCAGTAGTACGAGAAATACTGCTGTGTTTTCTTGCTTCCTGTCTTTGTTTTTTTGAGGTCTCTGTATGATTATAAAGTTCTGTTTTGTGCTCTCTGCTTTGCAAATTACTGCAGAATCTGACAGCAATAGACTGACAAGTGATTAATATTGCCTTGAGTCTACAAGCGTTCCTCCCTCAATTTCCTTGGAAAATGCAATGCAAGTGGAGTTGACTTTGCGTAATGGCTGGCAAGATAGGAGGGCCAGAGAGAGGGAGAAAGCACAGTATGATTTTTGGTTTTTACAGTTCTTCCTGGCTATGTTCTGGGTTTCTTATTTTATAGAATGACTTAAAACCCTGTTGCAGTTGAAGGGAATCTTTTAGTTTGCATTCAACTTGTAGCTCAGCAAGCAGGGGTTGGAGGCTTGGCTTATTATGGATGCAGACCTGAATTGGAATAGCTTTTTTTCCTCCTCTCTTGCTCAACATCCTTGTGAGCTCAGGTTAAATAGAAGAAATGAGTTATTTGGTGGAAGCGCAGCCTTGCCCGGTGGGGTCCGTGGCCCCGTGCACTTGGTGGAATGACTGCTCCTCACGCTCGCATGGCTGCTGCTTGCTCTCGAGCTGCATCCTCCCTCCCCTCCTTCCCAAAGCCTCCCAGCTCACCTGCTCCCGTAGCTGTCGTTGGGTTGTTTCCTCCCTTGTATTCCAATGGTCGCCTGTCTGTGTGTGATTTGGCTCGCACCAGAAAATCCAGGAGCTGGAGGCCACGCTGTACAACGCGCTGCAGCAGGAGCCGGGCCGGCGCGTGAGCGAGTCGCTGACGGAGGCGCAGCGGGAGGACCTGCGGGCCGCCGTGGACAAGCTGCGGCGGCAGATCCTGCGGCAGAGCCGCGAGTTCGACAGCCAGATCCTGCACGAGCGGATGGAGCTGCTGCAGCAGGCCCAGCACGTAAGTGACCGCCCTCCTCTCCCCGTCCACACTTAAGTGTCCCCACTGTGGTTGCAGCCACTGCCCCTGTGACAGCACCGCCTCACCCCTCACCGTGTCCTTAGGCCTCGTGGATCCTCTGCGTGGCCCCCGTGGCAGGGACGTCGCTGGTGGTGTTGTGCTGGGCATGGTGTGTGCACAAAACAGGTCACCCTCCCGCTATGTGGTCCTGGGGCACAACGTGTGTCATGTGTGCAGAACTGCGCTGTCCTCCGCGCAGCTCCGTGAGGGACGTGTTGCAAGACGGAGGCTTGAGCTGGGAGTAAACGGGAGCAGGAGGTTGCAAGTGTTTAGTGCTGTGGAAGGAAAAAAGGCAAAAGGAGGAGCTACAGGAGCCCAAAGTTTTTGTTTGTTTCTTAAAATTCTTAAAAAAAACCTTAAAAGTTCTTAAAATTAAAAAAAAATACAATAAAATAAAAGAAGTCCTAGTAGGTCTTCTAACTGTCTGCTTGCATACTTTTATTAGTTAGTTAGTTTTATTAGCAAGGAACCTCTGCATGTCCAAAGTGCTTTTTGAAGGACAAATACCAGCGTCCTAGTTTCAGGCATCTTCTTGGCCTGTGGAAGCATGGTGATTTGCTGGACATTTGGTTGGACTGCTCGTTTTTCTGTGCAGATATTCAGGGAAAGAAGAGAGCTCTGTGTCTTAGGGTGTTAGTTGTTTTCCAACAGAAGCCTTAGGAATGTGGTTTCTCCTCAGGAATGTGGTTGCCAATAGGTAACCTTGGAAGATGCAGCCAGATGTCTTAGGTCTTGGAGACTGCCCTCCAGTTGCTGTAGCTATTTTTTGTGTGGGCTGGGAATTGCATATTCTAATTATCTGATTGCTTGTGTTTTCAGATGTATCCATGGTTATTTTGTGGTCTCTTATGCTGGTTCCTGGAATGGGGACTGCATTTACTTTAGTTCAAGCTGCCCTCTGTTCAGATTTGCCTTGCAGATTGATGCTAAGACATGTATCTGTTAGTAGAAAGCAGGACTGATATAATGTACTGAGCTGTCACTGCTGTGTTGATCTGCTCTCACTCTGTGGTGCTGCAGAATGCTTATGGTGTCAGTGTTAGAGCTCTGCTCTGACTTGCTCTTACTAGGTAGGTCTGTTGGGTTTCCTAAGAGGTGAACTGCTTCGTGCAAGGACCTTGGGGATGCAGCTCATGAGAGCCGCTGGTTTAGCAGAGCAGGAAAATCTTCCATCCAAGGAATATATTGTCTGAATAGGACAGGGACATGCATGAGAAAGTGATTTAATGGGTGTCCAAATGTGAACCTTTGCAGCTTTCTGTGTGCTTCTCTGTGCAGATATAAAGCCTTAGTTCTTAGGCACTGACTTTGTTCTAGTGCAGTAAACATATTTTAGGCTGTTAGGCCTTGTTTCTCGTGGGTAGGTCTGCTCATCTTTTGCATGTTAGCCCCACATTATTATTGTTCATTAGTATATAAATGGAATCATTCATGTATATTCACTGTGTATTAAAGAAGCTCCACTCTGTGGAGGCAAATTAGAGATGCTGTGATTAGATCTGCTTGCTAAGATTTATAAAAAGCATGTTTTATGTGCAGATCTGGAGGACAGACCCTCAGTTGGAGCACAGTGACAATATCCCTTTGAATTCAGAGAAAGTGCTTTGATTTAGACCAGCCTTTCTGTTGGTGGGAGGCAATATATGTTAATTAAAAAGCTGTCATGAGCAGCTTGTGATCTTTGCTTCTAGCCATAGGGTATGTGCAGTTCAACTACCTTTTATGCATATATTGCCAGAAAAGACATGTCTTACTGTGTTACAGTCTTTTTATAAGCTTTTCATAAGCCAACGTCTGGTTTAATTTTGGCAGGACTTCATTTGAGAGTAACATTTGTGCCTTAACATGTCGTTTCTGTGCATTTAACAAGAGGGAGCATAATTACTAGTGGGTTCTGCTAAGGGTAATTTTATATATAAAACAGGCTTCACAGTAAGTCATTCCTAGAGATTGCAATTATAAAGTCTGTCTTCTAGAAAAGATATTTCAAGTAGAGCTATGAAATATGTTTCTGAAGTAGTGATTTCAATGTTTTATTTAAGCAAACAATAATAAAGAGAGAAAAATAAGAGCATCATGGCTAGATCTTCTCAGACAAATTGTCTTTCAGCTCTAGCTAATATGTTTTTAAAGGTCAAATGATGCCCTGTGTATATCAGATGAGACCTAACTTGACATATGTTTCTATTGGCTTAACTATTGGCGCTTGTGGAGTAAAATACTGTGGAAAGTGAGCAGAAGCTGTCTTTAAATTAGGATCGATGATTCAAATTGTGCCGTTAGCTGTATTCAAACATGAGAAGAATGTGTAATAAAAATAGAACTTATTTTGGTTTCATTTTAATTTACTTTAAATACAAAGAGAAGCAAGAAGATCTTTGAAGGACAGCAGATTGACACACTCTGTCTTCCAAAAATGATTGCTGCCAATCAGAAAGTATGTGAGAGACAGATTTCATTATTCTATCCAATAATTTCCCACAGCACTTATCTTTACATAAATTTGTAAGAAAAAAAGAAATAGAAAAGCCGTGTTGGTTTATTGTATCATTACCAAAGTGTGTGTGTGTTTGTTTTTAACTGAATTGCACTGTGAAAAGCCAGTCTACCAAGATGGGAGTGTTTTATTCCTTAGCAGCTACTCTTGGGTGGAGCTTGGTAAAACAAGCCGACACTTCAAGCATCCAGTTTTCAACTTTGAATAGCCAGAATACAGCTGTAAATATTTTAACTATGTTCTGGGAAACCATGGCTGTTACTGCTACAAGCAGGTTAGATTGTTCATCAGAAATAAAAGCAGAAACTACTGCTGTCTCAACACATTTTACTAGAGGAAAGTACAGAAGAATCCCTTATGGCAAATAGAAATAACTCCAAACTGAGCTCTGTATCGCTGGCATGGAGAAAGATTAATTGCAAAATGTGATTTCTTACGCAGTTTGTTTTCATGGATGATGATGATGATGATGAGACAAAAACAGAAGTTACTTTTTAAATCCAAATTTGTCAGAATATGAAACTGTAGCTTCAAACTGAGAATCACCAAATTCGTTTGCTTTGCTTGCTTACTTCTTTTTTTCCCTGGCCTGAAGAACCTGTGTCCCTACTGGGGAAGGGGCAAGCAAAGTGCCAGTGGACATGATTTCTCAGTGAATTTTCCTGTTTGCTCATAGGGCACTTTTGTGCTTTTTATCATGCTGTCTGTGGGGTGGAGTTATTTAAGGAAAACATATGATCAGATATCCCCACAACTGTAAGATCCTAACAGCTCAGCCGTTTTGGATGGTTTTCTGCTTATTACTGAAGCATTAATTGCCAGCCTGAGATTTACCACTTGATAATACTGCCAACGTTCAGGTAGAGTGTAGATAAATCCAGAGGTCGTCCTGTTACCCTTTAGTGTATGATCTAGTACAGTTGTCAGGCTATTTGTTTTCACAGAAGGTAAATTATTAAGGTTTGATGTTTGAATATCTCTCTGAAGAGAGAGGTGAATGCTTGCCTGTGGTGAATTAAAAGGTGCTGTGCTCAGTGTTCCTCTTTGGTGGGCATGGGGAGAATATCGTCTTCAATTTGTCCTCTCTGGCACATGTCTTGTAAACTAGAAAGTAGTTGAAAATTTGGTAAGATTATTTACCCAGCAGTAATTGGAACAAGTCTCTGATAATTTTACATATAAACCCATATAAAGGACAACTGTTTTTATTGCTTTTATTTAAAATTTGAGGTGTTAAGGTGCTAGCAATGTTGCCTTCTGATTATTTGTGTAGATAAAGAGGAATCCCCAGGGAAGCCAGTGATTCCTTTGGAAGCAGTAAGGCTGTCACCACAGAGCTCTGTGCTTTGAGTTCTGTGCTTTGCTGCTCAGTATATAATTGATAAATACTCTTGATATATTTTGGGTGTTTATGAATTTCTCTTAAAGGAGTCATAGCTATGTAATTATGATTGATATTGAGGAAGCATATCATAATTAGGCTAATTGGCTGAAAGTTGAGTCTTACAAACCTTATTGTTGCTAGCAATATCACAGTAAACTTCTCATTTCATACTTGTGACATGCATGGCAGATGAGAATTAATTTTAATCATTTTTATATGTTTATTCTACAATATTTCCCTATGCTGTTTTCCCCTTATCTAGGTTTAGACTTCAGATCAAGTCATGCCTGCTTTGGTAACTGCCTTAGTAAAGCTGATCATCCATATAAGAGATGATAGGACTGGTAAAGCACCTGCAAAGTGTATCTGAAAAGTCTGCTCTTTTTCTCCTAAATGAGGTGTGATACGGACTATACTCCAGATAAGTTAAGATCAACTCTATGCCTGAAAAGTAACACTAGAATCCAGGAAAACTATCATCTGAAATTCAGAAAATATAATGTCCTTTTTCCTGTGATTCAGTGGGAGCTGCAGAAGAAGAATAATTCTTAGAAGGAAGCAGATTGTAGAGATTATTACAAAAGTGAAGATTAAATGTGCTTTCATATGCACAGACCATGTTTCATAAGAATTAAATGAAAAATTGCCATTTAAATACAAGATCATAAAATATTCTAAATGTAATGTTAAATAAATATTTGGTGCTGCTTTTTGACATGATGAGTGAATGCTGTCAATGAGTCAGTTTTCAGATGTTGAACTTGTTCAACTTGTTCTAGCTTACCTAGACTCAGAATAGCCATTCATTCTGTGTAGATTGTATGATTTTAATTATGGTCTCTTCCTAGGTTAAAAAAAAAAAAAAAAAAAGGACTGATGATAATCTGGTGTTATATCAATGTATAATATACTTTTTCTATGTCATAAAATTAGCAGTGCTAATAAAAAACAAGTTTACTACTAAATATTGACCCATATCTTCACATGCAGTTACTCATCCAGTATCAGTTTCTAACAAATGGCTAAATTTAAGCTAAATTATATTTTAAAAAATCACTG